CTGGAATGCAGACTCGGAAGAAGCAAGATCCTTGTCCGACCCGATCAAAAACCAGAATCATTTATGCCACGCGAACAACTGGTTTCAGTTTATGAGTGAAAGGTATGCAGATTTTGCCTCTCAAAACAAGGTCTTGTCGTTGTCATAATCGATATAATCCTCACTATTAGGCCGGTTTGACACTTTGAAGTCTGATCGGATGTCTGGATTTTAATTGTTGTGCTGGGGCATGGCGTCATATCTATTTTATCTTGGGATGGGACGGTGAACTGCGTCATACATTCTGATTTACAAACTAGTTTACTAGAAAATAGTTTTAAATGTGGACATTCTTGGCATATGGGAAAAAAAATCGGAACCCCGAATGTTGTACATGTATTTTTCAATGCTCATTTACCTTCAAGGTCATCATCATCATAAATGTCGACGCCTTCATCATCATCATGCGCATTATTATCACTATCATCATTAAACCTATCTTCAACATAATGATCATTATTATAACCAATTAACCATCAACATCATCTTTATACTTTAATATGGAAATCGTCAACTTCATCTTCTTTATTAGTATCATCACCTTCATCATTACTGGGAAGTTTGGCAGTTTTCCCCGTGGACCGGTCGGTATTATGTGTTGAGTTGCTGGCCGATTTGTGGTTGGCTAGTTGGTCTCGGCGAAGTTTGCTTCCAGTTTGGTGCGAGCTGTCTAATTTGTGAGAAAAAGATCTGCTATCTGGTCGGCTTAAGAAGACCGACCATATAGCAGATCAGCCAGATATGATATTTAGGAATCTTAACTCTGTTACAAGAGATCGACCAATTGCCTATATGCGTATCAATTAAAGCAGAGGCGACGGAGCGACTTCCAAAGTGGGGGGGGGGGGGGGCACCAACACAAAAGGGCTTTTTCTGGGGAAAAAGGGCACTTACAAAGGGATATCTTTAAGCGAAAATTTACATTTTTTTAGACATTGGAATATACCCCTGTATTTCGACTGCATTATGAGGGATGATTTCAATATTTGTTTCTCTTTATACAACGAAAATGATATTGCTTAAGCTTCATACCTTGCAGTTGGGTGTAGTGGTTTAAAAACTCATTTTTTGAGCGAGCAAAGCGAGCGAGGAACATTTTTAAGATTTATGAAGACGCAGTGAGAACATTTACATCTTATAAAGAGAAAAAAACCCAATTCTGATGGGGTTACAAGCACATTCTCATATTAAACAGTAGACTGAAAAGACATTTGATAAGTAACATCATTGTAACATCTATAAATGCGTCGAGCTTTCGGGGGATATTGCTCTAAGTCGCTTGAAATTAGGGCACGTTTAATGATGAGAGGAAAAGGGGACACTTATCAAAAGGGATGACACTTAATCAAAAAGAAATAGAGCACCCGTCAAATTACAACGGGTAATTATCAGGGGTGAAATGGGGCACCTCCTACACCTTAGAAAGGGGCACCCACCAGGGATGAAAAAGGCACTTATGAGAATGGGAAATGAGGATTTGTCGACGGAAAAGAGGCACCCATCATATTTTAATAGGGTAATTATCATAGGTGAAAGGGGACACTTATCGCATCTGAAAAGGGACACTTACGAGAATGAAAAAGGGGCACTAAATAATAAATTTAAATGTGCATTTGTTGAAAGCAAAGGGGCACCGATCAAATTTAAATAGGGGCATTTATCGCAGGTGAAAGGGAGATTTTATGAGAAGGGGAAGTGGCTCTTATTAAAAAGAAAAAGAGGCATATGTTCAAATGAACGGGGCACTCATTAGAGATGAAAAGAGGTTATTATGAGAAGTGGAAGGAGCACTTAAAGAAGGAAAAAGAGCATTTATTAGGAAGGAAATGGTGCACATGTCAAAATAAAAAGGGGCAGTTATTAGAGATGAAAAGAGCACTTCTCAGGAGGAAAAGGGGCACTTGTCAAAGTTAAAGGTACTATTTTCATTGGTGAAAAGGGGCATGAGAAGGGGCAGGGGCACATATAATGTACGCTTATCCGAGTTTAAAAGGGGTAGTTATTAAAAGGGGAAGAGGCATTTTTTTCAAAAGAAAAGGGTCACTTGTCAAAGTAAAAGGGGCACCTCTCATATTTGAATAGAGCGATTATCAGAGGTGAAGGGGGTGCTTATGAAAAATGAAAAGGGGCGCCTCTCGTACCAGAAAAGGGGGCCTTACTAGATATTTAAAAGGGCACTTATGAAAATGGGAACTTGTCAAAGAAAAAGGGGTCAGTGTAAAAAAAAAAGGGGGGTGCGCTTATCAGAGGTTGAAAGGGGAAGGGGCATTTTAAAAAATTAATAGGAGCACTTTTCAAAGTAAAAGGGGCACTTTATATGTAAAAAGGGGCATTTCTTACAAATTTAAAGGGGCACTTTTGGGGTACTTGAACAAATGGGAGACTGCCCCCCCCCCCCACCCCTCCCCCCGCTGCCCCCGGGAGCACCGCCTCTGAATTAAGGTCTTTCAAGCTCTCAGTATTATCAGATACATTATATCAACCATTTTGGACTCCTAGCTATCACACGTATGATATCAAAGCTACTTAAAGTTTAACTTGTGCTTATTGTGTCTTTCTGCATGCACGTTATGTCCGGGTTCTTTGAAGCCGAAGTTTTATAAATGTCTAGGTCAAATGTCTCCCAGCTGCATATTATGAAGGCTGTTTAAAATATTGGCCTTTTGGTGTTTACCATTATGTGTCTTCTGTTCCATTGGAAATTGGATGCTTGCGACAAAAATTTGATTTGAATACACCAGCCTATTTTTCGTGCGATTGAGTAGCTACATTATTCAAATTCTATTTTTGTTTATTTTTCTCAAACATGAATGTTTCATAAGGAAATACAAGGAATGTCAAATTATACAAATTAGAAACCAAAGTGTCCTTTGTGGCACTCAGGATGTTGCAAGCATACACACCTCCCTTCCTAAATAATGAAACATGTGTATCAAATACGGGATTATATTAGTTCTTTTCAGCCACAATGACTTCCTATATACACGTGTTTAATTTAGTTTTGCTGAGGTAGAAGACGTATTAAATCTGTTATTCCATAGAGTAGTAAACAAAACACAATGGTCATCCTATGTTATCTTAACATAACACATTGTCTAAATTTATATGTTCTGAAAAGGGGTGCTCATATTTGTACAACTTGTGCATTTACTGTTTACAATTTACTTTGTTTTTACTGTATTTCAGGTAATATGGAACAGTTAATCATCTGTGTTTTAAATGTAGGATTGTACACATATTAATACATTTGTCAGGGTTAATATGCATGCATGTCATTCATTCCAATTTCTGTCAACAAATTTACCAAAATCTCTGCAGGATGTTTTACAGAATCAATATTTTACAAGTTGCTTGTGAAATGTTTTCTTTTCAAATCATGCTAGCGAGATCTCCCATGGCACGATGAATAGTTTTTGTTGTGCTAAATGTTCAAATTATTGATTACCTTTAAAGGAGTTCAGATTGTTATTACAAACATTAATACGAGGGCTATTATGCAATTAATTAGTTGCCTAAACTCAAGCAAAAAGTTTACAAATTGACTTAGATTTCTTTTTGGCACCTTCTTATGCTTTTGCACACATGGTAACAATGGCATCTCAGATCTCATCACAATGTACGGGCATCCCTAAAAACAAGGACTGTATTGGTATATTTAAGATTGTGAGATGGATGTGTTTGAAAGTCTGTTTTTACTCTGATCATGTAGGCATAATTGCCTTTAGATTACACAAGGAAATTTGCTTAAATGTCTTCTATTTGTTGGGGTCCAGGAGGGGTGTTTCACAAAGATCCTAAGTTTAACTTATCTCTTAGTTGGACTTAACAAGAAAGCCGTTAGCATCTATGAAAATATTTTGTATAAGTTATTTTAAAAGGCATAACATGTTGATTCAAATCATTCATATTTTCTTTTATCAAGGAGATTTCATGTACTTGATGCGGAATTTATAAACAAAAGTTTAAAATACTTGAATTTTCCCTTTTAAATATGTTTTATTTTAAGGCTACAAATGGCTCTCCATAATATTTTAGTCCAACTTAGAGTTAAGTTCAACTTGGGATCTTTGTAAACCCCCCCCCCCCCCGGTATCATTACTTAGTCACACTCACGCCTCAAAGCCATCTCATCTCCACACTGATTCCCAAACCGACCAATTCTCAGCCATTCTGGGTAATTTGTTATTTTTTATTCGGTCTGATGTTTCTCTTGTCGATGTGACTGTGGTAACAAATGGCAATCAAGTTTACAAAATCTCGTTTTAATTTATTCAATATTTAATGACGCAATTATGTTTTGTTATTGATTTGTTTGAGAGGTAGTGTTTGGATGGTAGTAGGTACTCATAATTAACTTCTAGATAGTTTGTGTTCTTGCTTGTACTCTACGTCTGTATGAAGCCTATTCAACAAGCGAGGATAGATGAATCGGTTAACAGAAATGGATTAGTATATCTCATCTATTGTATCAAGAAGAAGATTGTGTAAAATTAATAAATTAATTTTAAATGTTAAAAGTTTTAGAAGGAAATGTGTCTGCCAATGATTTTCTTTCAACATTTTGCGATCTAAATCTAATTTCACTTTAATTCATAGCACTCTTTTAGGACACACTTGAACAAAATGGAACAAGGAGAAAAGTGGTAAGGGGAAGAGGTATTTATTGATTTTATTCACTAGTAAATTGATAAATAGTTGATAATAGCGAATGATACTTGATAGTGGAAAACAATTATTGATAGAAATCCTGTGATCCTATGATTTTATACAGTAGTAAATTGATATATAATTAGCAAATGATACTTGATAGTGGAAAACCATCATGGATATAAAAGAGTCAGGGATCAAGAGGGAGGTACAGAGGGAGAAGGGGAGGGGAGAATGACAGAGAGAGGAGGAGGGATTGGGTAGGGAGAGAGTGAGTGAGGAGGAGGGGAAGGGGGAGACTGATTGAGAAAAGAAGAAAGAAGTAAGAGAAATGAGAGAGAGAGAGAGAGAGAGAGAGAAAATTGGATGTTGAAGGACATTCTGAGATCGAGTAGTAATTAAGATAATGTTTTTTAGGGGCCTTTTAAGATGATATAACGGACGTTATGTTTCTACGATTCTTTATCCATTCAACTAAATGTTAACTTTGGTGGAAATTTCAGTTGGTATTAATTCTATTTCCAGATAATTATAATCATATCGAAACAAAAATAACGTTGCTAGCTCGATTACCCCCCCCCTTGTGCTTTAAGGTGATGATTAAAGAATATAGAACGAATATGAAATCATTGACAATTATACCTAATCCGAATAACTTTATGTATTTCATGATAATTATCTTAAGCTCACTACTTTTATTTCATTTTCTTTTTAACAATTAAATAATTTCTGCCCAGTACCTAAGGCCTACTGAATGTCTCAGTTGACTTAATTTATGTTTATAATGCTCCTGTAAGTATAACCAATATCATGATAAAACTATAAACTTAAACCAAATGTGACATTTCTCAAAACAATATTTTATTTACCCTTCACCTATTATGCTAGAAGAACATTGTGACATTAATTCAATATTCGATTTATTGTTAGACTTCTAACATGTGACCAATGACACCGGGTTCATGATCAAGTTAAACCTGGTTTTCATCAGCGGGAAGGACTTGGATTACCTCCTACTCTGGTAGTGCTTCGACCGGTAGGATTTGGATAGGCCTCTCGGGCTCTTCGACCGGTAGGACTTTGATAGGTGGACCATTCGATTGACAAGCCATGCTGTACTCGGTTGAGAGAATGACATCTATGATATGAAAATATGGTAGGCGAATGATTTATAGAGGAAAGCATATAAATATATCAATTTCGAACGAAAGTCATTAATCAGCTCACTCTCACGAAACCTGTACGATACCACGTTTACAAGACAGGTAATAAACAAATGTGAAATTCTTTTCGTAGATTTAAACTTTGCGGTTAATATATTGTAGTTAAAAATCATGTAACGCGCAGGTGGGAACTTGATGGTTCCTCGAAGTTTCAAAATACGAGCGTATTATGGTTAACGGCGGTTGCAGCTATTCGAAGTTACGTTCCGTGCCTACAAACTAACTTCAAGGGTGAACAATATCGACTGTAGTTTAAAAGATCGAGCTGTTGTTGTATCGGTGCCATGTGAACCCGCGTAGTTTTTTCGTGATTTAAATAGACGTATAGATTCAAGTTTAAAGATAATACGACACCATACACACATACATGTAGGTGACATTGGATGTACTTAAACGATCAGTGCCATCGTACATTGTTTGACGAGATACTTTTAAAAGCTGACTATTTACCTGGCGCGTAGTAGTCGTAAACCGTGATGAGACCGGGCTTGGGATCTGTGACGTGATGGACACGTCTAACCTCCAGATCAAAGCACAACAGTGTGGCGGTAAACTGAAATAGAATGAAAGAAAATATGATAAAGTGTAATGATAAAAAAGTTTTGGTAATTTCCGGAAACACAATACTTAAAATGGCGTCGAGGTAATTATTTCTTCTAAAAAACGATCACAAAGACTTTCGACATAATCACTCTGTAGCGATTTCAAATACTGTGTGCGGAACTTACAGTGACATATTGCATATGCTGAAAATGATTTCTGAAGGCATTATAATGATGATATTGCTCTTTATAATGTTGATTTCTAGGAAGAATTGAATACAGTTTAATATGCCATATAGATGTTACACTTATCAATATAGACCTTATTGATTATTTTTCATTACTATTGCAATCCTTGCCCCCCCCCCCCCCCCCGAAAAAAGTGTTCAAAGACAAATCCCGATACAACTACATTTAAACTTCTTAGTAACCCATAGGCATAGCAGTTTAGAGTTTTCTTATTCATTAGATTAATCAGTTTACCCTCCCCCAACAATTAATATTATGTTCCAACCCTTCCTTGTTTGAAGAATAAAGTGTTCTTAAATGAACCATTCTGACAATTACTAATTTTGGCACAAGATTCTATATAATTATATTCATTTTCACTTGAGAGGCTTTCATGATTAGTTACTATTGAATTGCTTTTACTTAAGAACTGCACAACGTACTGCATTGGAAATCATTCAAACTTTTCTGTGATTTCTGCCCTTTCTACTAATGTATCTAATGCCTCGGTCACAAATGCCGTTACGAACTGCTACAAACGCCGTACGAACGATTTTCAGACAATGGACATTCGGGAAGACAATGGAAAAACGGAGATTCGTACGAAATTATCGTTCGTACGAACCTTTGTGACCGTAGCTTAAAGCATAATTATAGCATACACTGCATACTGTTAAGAGTAGGAAGGGTGGGACAGATAGATACCTGGTTGAAATACATGGCGACCGTCTTGCCTGTATATTCAGCCCTAGTGAGTTCTGGGTAGAACCCATTCCTCAGCAAATTAAAGGAATTTTGCTCAGGAACAAACCGGTAACTAGCTTCACCTCGACCATGGCCATGTTGGAAAATCCATCATCACCGAGATACCTGTTAAAACGACACATTGTCTTGTTTAGTTGGTTGGTTGGTTAGTTAGTTGGTTGATTGTTTAGTTGGTTGGTTGGTTAGTTATTTGGTTGATTGTTTGGTTGGTTGGTTGGTTAGTTGTTGATTGTTTGGTTGGTTGGTTGGTTAGTTGGTTGATGGTTTGGTTGGTTGGTTGGTTAGTTGGTTGATTGTTTGGTTGGTTGTTCGTTCATCGGTTAGCTAGTTAGTCAGTGGAATGGTTGGGGTTGGTTGACTTCGGTCGGTAGGTTATGTGGGCCGATTAACAAATTTAGCTTTGATGCGTAATATTTGGTTAGTTAAATTCGGTTTCTGGGTAAGTTTGATATGTTGATGGTCCGCGGGTGGGTAATAGTTGATTTGGTCAAAGTTATAGTTCGTAAGGTAGATTGTTGATTAATTGGGTTGTTGGTTGGTTAGTTGGTTGGTTAGTTGGTTGGTCGGTAGGCCGTCCCGTCGTCCCGTCGAGGCGGCTCGAGGCTTGGTTGGTATTGGTCGTTGATTGTTATTTGGTTGGCAGGTTGGCTGGTTCATATTATAGGTTGGTTGTTTGGTTGGTTATATCTCGTGTTTTTTTTTTCTTCCGAAGGATATATTTCCGAAACTGACATAGTGTTCATATTTCAGAAAAATTAAATGGACTTCGTAATTCCGAACAACAACAAATCCGAAATAGGATTAGTTTTTCATCCAAAAGACGAACGACATATTGTTATGATGCTAAAATTAGTGTGAGATGATAAAAACGAATGAGTTATTAAATGATGGAACAACAAGTCGATTAATAATTATTCGATTGATTTTATTGTCGTTTGTTTAGTTGATGACGGTAGATATAATTTAAGACCTAAACGAAGGATCATTATTACAGTGCACTTTAAATTCATCTAAATTCTAAGATAATAAGGTTTCCAACTTTATTTACCTCACACACACATTGAGATTAAAGCTTCCCTGGCAGGCGTCTTGTTGCGTCGTAGGACCCACGTTATAAATGATCTCGAAGGCTGGTGCGGGAGGGAGAGCCGGATGAATGTTATATCGAATGATCACCTGATAATGATTTGAAAGAAAACGTAAGCAAAGAGAAGTATGGTGTAAGTATTACAACTGACGGGAATGGAACGAGAATATTGAAAACAAATTCATTTATTGTGGATGTTTAACCTAACATGTGGCGTTTTGCTTTTGGATTTGTTTTCGATGTTTTTATGTTTGTTTTTTTGCGTGTTATGTTTTTGTTTCTTAGGCGAGTACCGCTTTTGAAACTTGGATTAGGCGCAAGAATCCTTTCAGATGATTTGTAAACATGACAAAACTGTCCAGTGGATAGTGAAAACACGATGAATATGCCTTTTGACTCTGATTATCTCTGTTTGCGGAAGTTGTAAACCATTGCTCGTTACGTTATACAAGCTCCCACTAAGGACAGATAGTCCTAAGCATGGAAAATAATGAAGAATACGTCTTTTCCCTATTAACCCTGCTAGGTAACCAAAGGCTAAATAAAATCATTATGATATTGAGGTATTATTATAGTATGTCAGGTCAGACTCCATTGGTCTGCTACTGGTAACATAAAAACCAGTACTACCTGTTCCATAGTCAAGAGAAGGCACAATTTCAGGTATGCATATGATACAACTTTAATATGTACCAGCAAGGTAGAGCTGCTAGACATGATGAGAAGAACAAAACAGGCCAGTTTATATGAAAAGGATCTCCTCTTTTAAAAACACAAAGAAGACAAAGATATTAGTAATAGACACGAAACGAAGAGATTTTATTTTGGATGGAGAAAAACATTGCTGAAGTCCAGGATTGTATATACCTGGGATCACTTGTAAGTGCTAAAGGATCAAGTGAGAAAGAAATCAAAATGAGATTAGCAATGGCAAGGAATGCAAGGAATATCTGGAGAAACCGGGGAATAAATAACAGTTTAAATTTAAAGATAGCATTAAAATCTATATGTTTCCCATTGTTTCGGAAATGAGACATGGGCCATGACCAAAAGAGATTTTAAAAAAGAGAGTAGATGCATTTAGAATGTGGGTATACCGGCGAATACTGAGGGTTCCGTGGACAGAAAGAAGAACAAATCGATGAATACTGGAAAAGCTGGATACAGAGATGTTGCTCAGAAAGAGTATTGCCAGAAGTATACTGCAGTTTTTTGCCAATGTAGTAAGGAGGGATGGTCTTGGAATGTCCCTAAGAACAGTGGAAGCCAGGCAAAAAGAGACAGACCTGCTATTTCCTGGTTGAAAGACGTCCACATATGGACAGGAAAAAAGCTGTCAAAGGCAACGAGAGCAACATCAGACGTACATAGAAGGTCGCGTAAACTTGTGATGGCCACATCAGCGCTGCTAGCGCTACTGACTGAAGAAGTGAAGGAAGAGAGTTTTCTCGATGCTAAATTAATGAACGAAACGCAAATTAAGCCTGTATGTATAAAAATATTGTATCAAAAGCTTGTGCGGGTCCCCCTCAATCTCAATCTCAATCTCCCCCCCCCCCCCTCTCTCTCTCTCTCTTTCTCTCACTTCCTCTCTCTCTCTCTCTCTCTCTCTCTCTTTTTTCTCCATAGATTCAAGCTTAATCTTCAAATCAAATTCTATAATTCGGTTATACTTGATCTTGCTTTGCTCTGGTTTTCTTTTGTTTTCCCCTGTTACAGTCATTACCGACATCAAATAAAATGAACTTTACCTGGAGAAGGGCACATCCTTCGCCAGTAGCGATGACTGCGATTGCCTTTGGGAGTTGGTCGAGGTCGGCCCGCTGGAGAACGAGACGATTTCCATCATGGATGACGAATATTGAGTTCCACAAACAATGCTCCTTGTAGCTGAACGCAATGCCCAGGTTAGACTCGCCGCCGAACACAAGACGGGCATACTCAGCGAGAGCGTGGATGGCGACGACGGTGTCCTGGGAAAGAAAGTGGTTTGAAGAATATTCTGAATAGTTGCATGATGTCCTTCTTTCATTACTTGGATTACCATTCAGCATGAGAGAACTTACTGACTATTAACCAAAAGCTATCTTATATTATCTAAATAACTGCTCTTTAAAAAATTGAGTCATATTCTCATAAACTCTCTGAACAAAGCTTCAAGTCTGTTGGGGATATTAACTTTTGATCCCAATACAAAATATCCCCCCCCCACTTTTTTGTTTTCTTTCAGCTGTTCAGCTACAGTCTTCGTCTGCTGTGTGAGGTCGGGTATTTTCCCCCAGAAGTTTGATTAGAAATGGGTTTAGTTAATTGTCAGGGGGGTTGTATGGTAATAATTCCAAATGCTCCTTCTGAAACGCAAGAACAATAATGACCACAATGAGTTTAGAGGTTTAATAAGGATGGGAATATCTAAATAGTCCTAAAACTGTAAAAATGCATTAACGTTTCATCATAATTTCCTCAAAATGTTACCTGAGACGATTTAAACCCTCCGTGAGGTCCTTGCTGTGAGACAAGCCACTTGGAGATAGCCGAGCCGCGAGCTATGGCGTCATGACCGTAAACATTGATGTAGGTTAGGAGTACGTACGCTGTCATCTCAATGCTGAGGGAGGAAGCGGTTGCACCACGGCCGTACCTACGCGATCCCGGGGTCTGCGTTCGGCTGCTTACCCAGTATCTCACTCCAACTGTCAACATCAATTCCAAAGGTGTGAAAGCACAAGATCATTACTGGAGTCGAAATGCCCCTTTAAAAAAGGCCCCCGTTTACAAACTAAAATCTCATCTCTTTCGCAGTGACTTTTCTATAAGTCTTTAAATGGGTATCCGATAGGATGCGACCGTCATTGTTGGTGGAACAATTTTTGAGCGCCACGTAAAGCCTGGCTGGAATGAGTGGGGATTGTGCACACAATGTGTGTGGGTAAGTATTGAATCTAATGACCGGGTTAATACTATATATTTAAAGCACTTTATTATAATATTCGGGGTCATCTATATGTCGTAGTCATAAGCTAATTACACACTGGTCTATTCTCGCTGTTTTATATAGATAAAACCATCCCTAAAGTACACGTACTTTCATTTTTGTCGACTGATTCGAGGTATTCCAGGACTTGAACGACGTTGGTATCCTTAGCTATACTCAGGGCGTAGGCGATGAGGGCGGCAGTGTACGTGTCTTCCAAACTGCCGATAGAGTTGGTGATACAGGACAACGCGTCTTGAATAGCCTGGGTCTGAAAGAGAATATCAAAATCATTACTTCTCGGTAACTTAACAAAGACATAGACATGCACTGTTACATTATTAGGTACATAGGTTATCATTTTTAAAAAAAAATTTACACTATTTCAAGTTTTTATTTGTCTCTGGTTCTATCGGTGAAACCCCTAGATTGTTATCAACATGGGAAAGTTTAATAATAATATTAATAATAGCTAGTTCTTATATAGCACTTTTCAGGACCGAAGGCCCTCTCAAAGCGCCTTATAGATTCAGGCTTACTCGCACACAATGTATGCACATTCTCCACTCCCTGGGGGCATTCCAGCCAGGCGTCATTTTTCCAAGCGCACACATGCTAATCTAATCAGGTGTCGTGTCGTGGATACGTCGCTGGACTGTCAATCCCAAGGTCCGTGATTCGAATCCCATCGCGGCACTAATGTCCTTTGGCCAGACATTGATCTACTATTTCCACAGTCCACCCAGGTTAAGTGAATGGGGACCCTGTAGGAATTTATTCCTTGAAATGCAGCGCGCGTACCAGCTGCACTGCTCAAGCCAGGGTAATTATACAGCATTATTGTAGAGCGTTTAGAGACTTCTGATAAAGTAAGTGTTAGGCGCTATATAAAAAGCAAATATAATTATTAATCTAAGCACTTTAGCTTTCACATCCTACCGCCTACTCATTTAACACCTGGGCGGAGAGTGGCAATGTAGATCAAAGACTTGCCAAAGGACATTAGTGCCGCACTGGGACTTGAACCGCGGGACTTGAACCGCGGACCTTGTGATCCACAGTCCGGTAAAATATCCACTCGTCCACGACATCTCTGTTAAGTCTATGGTAAAGTCTTTACCAAGTATTACTAAGCTGTTTATTGGAACTGAATATAAATAAGAATCAATTTTATTTTATTGTTGTCCGATTCAATTTTTTTTCACAGAGTATGCAGAACTGGTAAAAGGCTTGTAATAATAAATCCACTCCGCCCCTTTATTTCTCTCTGAAAATAATCTCACTTGGATGAAAATTACAGAACATTCAGGAAATATGCAAAGGTCTGACCATACCTAAAACAAATCGTTTTCCACGAAAATGTACGTAATATGACAGGTGTGCATTACTAAATAAAAATCAAAACTCATCTCTAGATTTAGTAGATCTACCCAGATTTTGTAAGTTGTCTCATTTAAGTGCATTTTCGTGTTCTAAAATTTCTTTTCCTATAAGCCACAATTAAATTCATTATTCATTTGTTTGGAGTTGTGGTCTTTATTATCACTATGAACATGACGGACAAAGAAAGAGGACAAAATATACAGTCCCTCAGGTTGACAAAGGAACATCCCTTCACTGCTATTATGTGCAAATGTGCAGAACAGGTGTCACATGCATATTCATCTGTTTTACTACTTTTTACATACTAGCAGTGAAGGGATGTTCCTTTGTCTACCTGGGAACTTTATATTTTGTCCTCTTCCTTTGTCCGTCATATTTATAGTGTACGCAGATTTGATTGCACATGCACATATTGGTTCTACTTGCTAATTCAAAACGGTGAATGCACCATACGGCTCACTTCGAATCATCCGATCATCGCGTCTGGCCTGGTGGTCGCGTTTTCGTGAAATCACAACCATTACCCCCTACATTTCGCGAATAAAGGGACACGTCTTGACAAAAGGTCGGGAAACTCGACCACCCGACCCGACGGGATGACAAAATGATTTGAAATAAGCCCACCATACGTACTTCCAAAGGCTGCTGGGCTTCCAGTAAGCTGACAACTATGAACGCTGTCAAAGTCACCTCATCATTCACTCCACCCTAAAGAGAGGTCAAGAGAAGACAAATTAGAAATAATCGTGGAAGATATATACATACAAGTCATGTAGCTTAGCTCTTTGCAGCAAATAAATGAATTATTAAGTAAATCAATGAAATTATTTTAAAAAATGGGAGTGAACATTGCACATTCTTCATCCAAGATGATAGCAGTGAATTAAACTGTTAAACGAAGAAAAGGGATATTATATATGGCTAAATATTCTTGGATCAAAATGCTCGATCTGTATGCATGTTGAACATAAGATGCTGCAATTTATCACATGAAACAAAGTTTTTCATTTCTTAATTTGAAAACAATATTGTGTGCGAAGACTGAAGTCTCTGATACATTATTTTCTCAATTTAGCATGCAACGTGATATCAACTTGGATTGTTTAATGAAAGAAAAAATAAAGAAAAAAATAACAAATAAGTACACATTTGAGCAATATTCAATTAAAAATTACACAGTTACAAACTTTCTAATACATTTTTAGTGAAAGACAAACGTTTCTTGACAGCTCCTTTCCAATTTGCTGTAAAAAGAACATTATATAAAGTTTTCTTTGTTTAGTTATTGATGACGAAATGGGCTTGCTTCATACTATTTGTAGACATTCATAATACATTTAGGTGAATGTATGATTGAAAGTTTTCTCAAGGGAAAATTTAAATTTTTGAAGTTATTTTAGTACAGGGAGCAACTGGGTGGTGACGCAAGATTCGTCACATTGTTGGAAATTTGCGTTTGAATGATCGCACCTTCAAAAATTATAACTTTCCTATTTCTAATAAATTTGTGCTCAAACTTTCCCTGACTTGTTTCTCTCATGAATCTGCTTCTAATAAAACCAATTTAATATCAGGGTGGCGGCCCGCTTTTTATACCTGCATCTCTTTGTGGATTACGCGACCCCTTGACCGGAAACACCCATTCTCCTCTTGTCCGAGGGTGTTGTACAGCCAATTAATACTGACGTCAAGGTCCTTTGTATCGATGGAAATGAATTGACTGGCCTGAGCGAAGGAGCGAATCACATAGGCTGTCAGCCATGCACTACCTGCTGGGTCCCTGTTACCAAACGCCGAGTAAGACCCACGACTACGCCGGTAATTGAGCTGCTTCTGGTATCCTTTCTGAAAATTATGAAAATGGGGGAAAAAGTCTAAATCAAGTACAAATATGTTCAACTTTTATAAAATTACTAATTTCTCTTTTTTCCTCTTGGTCAACCTCCTCCTCCTCCTCCTCCTCCTTCTTCTTCTTCTTCTTCTTCTCCATTATCGTCGTGGTCATCATTTGTTTTCATTTTTCTACTGCTACGTCTTCTCCGCCTCTTTCTTGAATCACGTAGTTCCTTTAATTTCCGTTATTTTACTCATGTATTTGTTTGCAATAATGGATACTCTTTGTATGATTGTATGCATCGTAGGTTTAACACACGTTAATTAATCCATTATATGAATGGTTTAATTTTGTTATGCATAAACGTAATTGATCACCATCAACGTTTCTTTTAATAGTTTCTCACTTATCATGAATATGGGTTTAGTTATGATCGCTGTTTAATTTACTTCTTCCAATATTCCCACATCTCAAATATTCTTAAGTAAAAAAGGATTTTTAGGATACTAGGTCATCTCACACAGGAAACAACCCCTCAGGAACAAACACGATATACAATCACATTCAGGGTTCTTTCCTACAGATTTGCGATTGATATCAAGTTGCGATCGGTATAAACCAATCTGATGTGATTATCGCCATATCAATTGCCAGTAGGTAGATTGTGTCTGCTTGGTTCCTATGAATCAACATTTTTGAGTTTGAAACTGCACATAGTCTTTCATAATGATGAATGTTAACTGACGTGGTACACTAAACTTCAAGAACACAAACACTATAATTACCCTCATATTTGACAAGGCTTTGTTGACTTGTGATTGGTCAGCTTGTTCGGTCGCTTGGAGGTACTGGAGCGCGTAGATGTTTGGTACAAACCCGATCATGTTCTGCTCACCGCATCCAGACGGGATCCTGAGCAGTCTGTCGATGTTCGCAAGACTATTGCCGAGGATGTCCCCTAGATTGGATGAATAGAAGGAGATTCCGATTATTAAAATGGAATAGACTTGGTTATATATTAGTACCAATCATTTGGTAACCTGAATAATGGATTTGAGCAAAGTCTATAGCCCTGGGAGCCGGAGGGTAGTGGGGTGCTTCAGCACTGGGCCCCTCAAGAAAATCAGTGTTGCTTGGAAATGGGAAATTAATTTCCGAGTGAAAAGACACCAGAACTATGCAATATATATATATTCCTATGCTTATTGTGTTACTGTAAATCTGATAAAACATTGCTTTGTTCTAAAGGTAGGTCTATTTTATACAAATCATCCAGCATGCATGTATATAAACCATCTCGTAGGTATTACCTGCGCACGTCATTTTACAGTTCATTTGTAATTGTGTAAAACCACCGAGATGAATACTGAATAGTTGTCCATTAAATTCATGTAATTATGAAGCAATTATGCACCGAGGGTACAGCCTATGATACACGGGTGTAGGTTTGTTGTTCAGGGCTGATTTGTACCATGTGCTATCTACGAACTGGTCTATTATCAAATTCTGGGTGGAATATATTGAATAGTAGATGGCGTAATAGATCAGAACGGTTCTTTAAATACCTGACATGAAGATGGTAACTCTGCCCGAGTCCGCAACATACTCCACCGGAACTGAGATCTCAAATGTATGCCTGAATGTGCCGTCCTCCTCTTCTGTAAAATAGGGGATAATACGGAGTATATAGGTAAGAATAATAACGATAAAAACAAAAAAAATGACAATAATAACGCTAATACTATTAAAATGCTTATAATACTATATAGTACTAAAAGAAGAAAAAATAGAATATGGTAATATCACTACTACAACTTATGATTACAATAGTAATGATAATACTGATGATGATGATAATAGTATTGATAAAATGAGGATATTGATGAATTTCATATTGCTTATACATCAACTCCAAGTCGTCTTACAAATTATTTATTACCCTATCTAGCTTTGGCCAAGCTGACCAAAGGTGCTGAAAACATTAGAAATGTTCCCCGCGATACCCATTTACCGTGTTGAGAGTACAAACTTAAGATCATATTTCAATTCGTCACCACAGCCTTATTTTGTCCAAAATGATCACATGACCAATGAGTGCTTACCTTTTGGACAGAAGTACAAACTAAGTGATTCCTCCACCTCCTCTCCTTCAGGCTGTAAGGAAACAAACAAGCAGTTAGAGGGAATTGTTATGGCAAACTGGGTGGAGGTAAAGAGCTCTCAGTTGACCGTTAAACAATAAAACATTCATTTTTTAACCTTCAGTCACACCGCCAGACTGAATCCATACCGACTCCAAACCGACCGATTCTTGGCCGTTGGACATAATATCGTTGTTTGATCGGGCTGTTGGTCTGGTTTGTGAGGCATTGGGATTTAACGACGGTGTCGACACGTACTGCCGGGTAATTATACGATGCATATAGAAATGGCATCCGTCAAAGTATAATATAATATAATATTACCAATAGGTCATTTTAGTTTAATACAGCGTTACTTTGGTTTTTAAGGCTACCTTTATACAGCACTGGGCATTTTGATGCAGTTACATATTTCATCTTACCTCTACGAGAATAGGCTTGCTTAGTCCATCACTGTGTGTCACACCAGTTTCAACAGGTTTCCCTCTGCATACAGTCTGGTCATACGCAACGATCACGGTTGCTGAGAGAAGACATATTTATATTATGTTATATGAATGTGAAATTCAGTTCAGTTCTTTATTCAATTTTTAGTTTAGAAAACTTTAAAACAATAACAAATTATTCAGGCATTCGACATAATAACGAAAACTAAGCATGTAGCAATGAGAACAAGGCGTATAGGTACTTTTTTTACGGAGCGTGTGTATACGCCGGTGGGGGAGTGTGAGGATGGGTGCGGTTATGTGCGTGTGTGTGCGTGTGTGTGTATGTACATGTATGAAGGCCATAGATGCAGGCCTTTTGGAGAGGAGGGGTTCAATACTTGGTACTTGGTTGTTGTTTCTCCAAAATATTCCTAGTGGAATTTAAACCGGAGGTCGTGGTGGCAGAGGGTGGACTTATTTCGGAAGGAGTGCTACTTTAAACTTTGCTGAGTCAGTCAGGGATACTAATGCCGAATCGAGATCATTCCATGCTCTGGTTGTGCGTGGAAAAAAAGAGTTTTTATATACATCTAATCTGGCTAATGGTATTTCGAACTGACTTGAGTGCCCGCGTCTGCTACGATCTGGTTTAGGTTTAATGTGTGTTTGGGCATCTATGTCCAGCTGGCCATGTAACATTTTGTGGACACAGCTTAGACGGTGAGCTTCGCGTCTGTCTTGGAGAGAGTTCCATTAAAGAGAATTTAGGAGGGTGACGCTTGCTTCTCTCTGATATGTGCTTGTGACAAAACGGGCTGCCTGCCTCTGGACTCGTTCGATCGAAGAAATGTTCTTAGCTGTGTGTGGGTCCCAAGCAGCAACTGCGTAATCTAAGTGTGGTCTAACGAGGGTGAGGTAGAGTTTCTCCTTTATGGAAGTTGAGCAGTGATGAAAGTTGCGTCTCAGAAAACTCAATACTCCTATAGCTTTTTGTTGTAGCGAGGTGAGTTTGGCCATTCCATCGGAGGTCGTTCTGGATCACAACACCAAAATACTTTGTCTGCTTACATTCTTCCAGGGTGACACCAAGGAGGTTGTATGAAGATTTACCCGGTTTCTTCTTCCTGGTGACACGCATTGATTCACACTTTTTGGGGTTGAATTTCATGCCCCATTTCTGAGACCACTCCACCATTGCATCTAGGTCTTGTTGCAGGATGTCCACGTCGTTTACTGATTTAATTGGACGGTACAGCATGCAATCGTCTGCAAAAAGCTTAGTGGTGCAATAGATGAAAGATATGTCGTAAAGGACATATACTTTACGGCATCGCTCATTATTTCAAAACTGATAGACAGGGGTGCATGGTATACTTACTTTCAAGATCAACGTCCCCTAGTGCTGTGGGCCGAACGTTAAAGGTCACTTGGGTTGGTTCAGAGCTGCTACATACGCAAGTGTATTTGCTGTTGGATTCCTCTTTGATCTCAAATTTAGAAGACGCAGTGAGAGTTACCTTAACCTTTATGAACAACAATGACAGGGGGAAAATGTTATAAATATGGACAGGCGGTTAACTGATTTAAGACGAGACACTTGCAGAAATACATAGGACGGGCGTGGAAGAAGAGAGGAGAGAGCAAGATAGAGATAGAGGGAGGGGTGTGGAGATAATGTGTGTGAGAGGTGGTGTGTGTGTGTGTGTGTGTGTGCGTGTGTGTGTGTATGGGAGAGAGAGAGACGGAGTGAAACTAAGGAAGCTGGTTCGAAGTATAGTATATTAAATGAAATGTTGAAATATACGTAAATAATATATAACATAGCATATGAACTTACATAGCAACTTGGATGTTAGAAATAGATAATATAGAAGGAGGGTGAAAGAGCAAAGAATAAGGCTGAGTGAATCGTGAACAAACAATATAAAGAATTAGAAAATATCAAGGGATATAATAAAGTGGAAGACAGAGACGTAGAGAGATAGACTGGGTGAGAGAAAGAGAGAAAGGGGAGAGGGAGCTCCCAGGGAACGATGAGGCGGAGAGAGATAAAATTATGAGAGCGATATAAAGTCAAATTAATTGTTTGACGGGCCTTTTTTATACTGATTATCATAATTTTTTAATTTGAATTTGAATTTATTAACAACAACAAAACAAAAACATAACACAATGTTACAAATGTATTCAAGTGGGTCACAAAATAACAAAAATATCCATGTACATGAGTTACAAAGAAAGAGAAAATATCCATAGCTGAACTATGTGCACAAATTAAATTAATCATATACCATGTCATATCAAAACCTGTGAATTAGCTATAACTTAATAATACGTAAAGATTTGTGGCTGTAATTGAAATTCACAGAGTTCCAATAGCGTGTAAGTGATTCAAATAAAGGATATTTTTAAACTTACAAACTTAAAATGTTGTTAAAGGGAGATCCAAAAGTTAGCACGAGTGCTAGTCGGGATTGGTTCTCCAAGTTTCTAAAACTGTACGCAAATTCATATTGATATTTATTTTGACTTAATATCATATTATTTGATCCTCATGATTCATCTCTGCTTAGGAGTTTAATTCTGAGATTTTGACGAAATGATGATCTTGTTTGTTTTTTTTCTCTTATTTTTATTGGCAAATTATTCCACAGCTTTGCTCCAATGAAATAAATTGAAAATGTGCCATGTGTCGTACTACATTTAGGTAATCGTAGCATTAAATGTTCTCTCCCTCTTGTTCTATGCATGTGATTCATTAAAACAAAGTAATCCATTAACGAGTGTGGTAAATTGTCCTTTCTGCAGGTCATATACAAATGTCGATACTGAATGCTTGAACAGATTATGCACATCTAATACCTGTAGACTTACGAACAGTGCCTTTGAACTTGTTTTAAATGGGGAAAATGTTATCACACGCATGGCCATTTTCTGTGCCAATAGTATGCAATTTAAATGACTTTTATAGCAACTTCCCCAAACTTCAATACCATAAAGTATGTGCGGCTGGATAAAGGATTTATACAAGAGCATGATAATGTGCTTAGGGACATAGTGTCTCAACTTACACAGCAGTCCAATCTTCCTCCGTATACACTTATTAATGTTCTGAATTTGCTCCTTCCACATCAAGGTTTCATCAATTTGAATTCCTACGAAAGATGCTACACTGACTCTATCTATCACTGTATCACTTAGTTTTAAAATGCCCCTAATTTCACATGATTGCCTTTATCCCTTAAAGGTACTACAGTACACGCCGAAAATCTCCGCAACACGATTACACGATTTATTTTTAGGATTACACGGTTTACACGATTCACCTGAATCGTGTAACTGTGTAATCGTGTAATTTACACGATTGAAGAATGTCGCTCTGAATCGTGTAATCGTGTAAATAGTTAAGTGCCAATTGGTCGGATGATTCGACCAGATGCAACAATCGTGTAACTGTGTAATCGTGTAAATTTACACGATTGAAGAATGTCGCTCTGAATCGTGTAATCGTGTAAATAGTTATTAGGGTTATAAGGGCATTGGTAGAACGATGCGACAAGCTGCAACAATCGTTAAATCGTATCCTGCTTACACCAATTGCTTTATACACAACTTACCTTCAGTGTACATCAGTTAATTACTGTACTTTATATTCGTGTATAAACCTCAGCACTTTCCACTAACATGTATCGTATACTAATCCGTGAGACAAGGTAGGAAAACGTCAGAAACAGGAAGACAGATGAAAAAGTAAAGGAAAAAAAGATAGCTACGAGGAGAAGGGAACATTATAAAAGGAAAATGAGGGTTGAGAGGCACGATAAAGATAAACAGAAAAAATTATGCAAGAGAGAAAAATGGGAAAACTAAAAAGTTGACCGGAAGAAAGAAAGAGTGAAATAGAGTGATAAAAAAGTAGGGCGAAACATAGTAAAATTAACAGAAATGAGAAGGCTATGAAACGGAGAGGAATAGAGACAAATAAATAAGGTAAGAGGGGAACATAATGAGGGAAATAGAGGCGAGAAAGATATGGGGGAATGGAAAGATATTGAAAGAAAGAGAGAGTGAGAGAGAGAGAGAAAGAGCGATAAAAAAGCTTTAGTTGAAAGAAAAGGGGCACCGATCAGATTTTAATAGGGGCATTTATCGGAGTTGATGGGGCATTTATCAAAAGTGAAGAGGGGCACTTCTCGTACTTAAAGGGGGATACTTACTAGAGATTAAAAGGACGCTAATGAGAATGGAAATGGACACTTATTGCAAAGGAAAATAGGAACTCGTCGAAGGAAAGGGGGCGTGTGTCAAAAGAAAAGGAGCACTTATCAGAGTTGAAAGGGGAAGGGGCACTTTTACAAATAATAGGGACACTTGTCAAAGTAAAATAGGTACTTTTCCTACACTCAAAGGGGCACTTTGGGGGAACTTGAAAAAGTGGGGGACACTGTGCCGCTCTAGAGCTAAACCTAACTCAAAGACAGTTGGCCATTCACTTATTCTATTCATTCTCGGCTTGCAACTGTTCCCTACACTCTGTAGCCAGTGGCTTACATACTTACGTACATGTAATACCTATTGTTCAGGGGGATCCTATGTTCAAGGGGAACCCCCTGAACAATAGGTATTATGTAAGGATCTCTGCCTGTAGCTAGGGCAACGGCCTTTGTCCCCGGCGAGGGTCAATGGCAGGCCACATTCAGAGTAAGCTTCTTTTGTATGTGACAGGAAGTGTGCCCTTAAGCCTTGACCGTAGCTCTTTATACATATAGCTGAATAATGCAATGTTGTAAAAGGTAATTTACGAAAATGATCGAGGAACGCTAAAAAACCAATAAGTGATCAAAGTCTAAGGCCCGAATTCACAAAGGAGGTTTGTCGTCAAACCTTGGTCTTTGTTCGTCATATGACGCGTTTTGACGCGTTTTTACAAACCAGGTTTGTAAAATGGATAATGATTGAATAAAAAAAAAAGTATAACGATATTCATAGTAACGAATGAGGTGGTGAACATAATTCTAATTGGTACAGCCTTGTAATGTAAGAGTATCACAACATACTTAATTATGTTAGCCCTCCTTTACATTTTGTAATCATTTTGACTTATTTACAACTTAGGAATAACAAAATTCCCCCCTTCCTTCGTCGTTCATCGCTTTTTTCTTTTTTTCTCACCGAGGATTAAATCCGAGAGTGCTTTTCGGGAAGTGGACTGATTTTTTTAACTTTCAAACAGTCTATAATAAAACTAGAGACAAGACACTGCAATTTAAAATATATACAAGAGAAAGAAAGCGTAATGTTCGCTATCCGCCCGTATCGTCCACTTGTCCTCGTTCAACCAAGAAGTAACTTCTTGCTTTTACTGAACTAGACATCCTTAACCTGCTCACCATCACCACTGAAAATAAATTGTAACACAATTCCAGCGAGCAATCGAATCGTGTAAATTTTGAATCGTGTAATCGTGTTGCGGAGATTTTCGGCGGGAAGATTACACGATTACACGATTCGACCTGAATTGAGGAATCGTGTAATTTTACACGATTACACGTTTACACGATTCAAATTTCGCTTCATTGGCAAAAAACGAATCGTGTAAAAATAAATGGTTACACGATTCCCGCGAGCAGTCGAATCGTGTAAATTTTGAATCGTGTAAATCGTGTTGCGGAGATTTTCGGCGTGTACTGTATGTCCCATTTGCAGGCCAAATAAATGAAAAAGTTAAATTCCAATTGTATTTGAAAGATATTACTAATTTAGAACTTCCCTAAAAAAAGTGGGGCTTGAAAATGTCTTCAAGTGAGAAAATAACGACTATTAGTTGTCAAATCGACTTTAGGGCTATAGAGCCCAAAAGTAATAGTCTTGATTTTTAGACAATTGTACCGAATGGTCATACGTTTTATGCTGCGCAAAGATTCAATCAGTTTAATCTTGGCCATCACAAGAAGTAGGTTATTGATGTAGAGAAATGCTCATGCACCCTTTACAACTCTTTTCATGTATGTTATTACCAAAGAAGAAAAAGGCCAGTCAGTCACTCAATAGTGTCTGACAGTGAAGTCTAGCAAGTAAACGGTTTTCCTTGCATAATTTGAATATGAGGACACTGCTAACATTTAAATTTCACAGATAGGACATACATGACATATTCATAATTCCTGCAAAGTTCTACATAATTTGAGGTTGGCTGCAAAAGGGACATAGTACCTTTAATGAGCATATAGTTTGTTTTCTTTAAGTTTATTGTCAACTTATTAACAAAACCCCATTTTTGGACTTCCACAAATATGTTATTCACTTCATTCATATCTATTTCTTTCTGTCTTTTATCAAAAGTATGAAATAGGTTTGAATCAGCAGCAAATAATCTAAAATACAAAATATTTAGTAGAAGAGGGTAAATCATTAATATATAGTAAAAACAAAGTGGGCCCGAGGATTGAACCTTGAGGGACACCATATGTTATCCTTCTCCTACTTGATACTATTTCCTTGTAGCATAAGACTTGCGATCGATTTGAAAGGTAACTTTGAAACCATTGTAATGCTATGCCTCGTATTCCATAATTGTTTAACTTTCCTAAAGGATTTCATGATCAATAGTATCGAAAGCTTTCTTAAAGTCTATGAAAATACCTAGCGTTGGTTTACCTTTATCCATTGAATTTATAAGTGCATCTACAAGATTTATCAATAATAACTTCGTACTATATCGCTTGCGAAAACCGTACTGATGTTCATACAAAATCCTGTTAGATTCTAAAAAATTCATTAGACGACCATTAGCTTATTTCTCAAAGACTTTGCAATGACCGGTAGAACAGAAATGGGCCTGTAATTTCCAGGGTCGGTCTTTGGTCCTTTTGTGTATAAAGGAGTCACTTTTGCTGTCACTTTTATAGGGCAATGTGTTAAAAGCAATTTTCTTGCTGGACCATAATGCGTATGCGCTCTATCGGGTGGTCCGTGGTCATTCTTGAACCCATTGGTCCAGTTTGTCTCTTCATCATATTATGTACACATTTGAGAAACGTGTTCTCTCTCTCTCTCTCTTTTTCTCTCTCTCTCTCTATCACACATACACACACACACACACACACACCACCTCCCCCCCCCCCCCCCCCATCTCTCTCTCTCTCTCTCTGTTTCTCTCTCATTCTCTCTTTACATACAGTGGCATTTTACACCCATGCCTACAATCGAGTCGGGTGGTGAAAAACAGAAGGAACAAACGAGAAAATAGAGAAAGGGCAAGGGAGAAGAAGGAGAGAGAGAGTGAGAGAGAGAGAGATAGAAAGGGCAATGAAGAAGAGCGAAGGCGGGTAAGAGAGAAAAAGGGAGAAAGAAGACTCCAGCTCCCTGCCCCTGATGTAGCCTTGTAGATTCGCATTTCTTTTTCCGAGAAAGACCGGTGCCCCCGCCTCCTACACACCGCCCCATCCCTCACACCCTTCTTTCCACTGCCACCTCACGTTGCTCCACTGTAGTATCTCTATACGGGCCAAGAAAGCGGACCAGTGATTGGTTATCAATTTTACATCGTATTATTATCACGTACCGGTAAGCACTTTTCCAAGTAGTTGAAGATGTTAATTTGAAGCTCCAGCTCTTCGCCTCGTATGACAGAGTAAGGGAGATTGTAATCCGCAAAGAACTGTTTGAAAGCTGTCACTGAGAAGGGTTCGGAGATACCAAAGCCAGTTGTTGAGGAGATACAGAACCCACTTCCAACCCACTCTGTAATGGTATCAGGGACGGTGACGGTTGGGGATTCCCTAGGAAAGATACATAGATAATGATGGGTATGGTGATTTGATTTAAACGATATTACTACTGCTACTACTACTGCTATTACTACTACTTCTACTACTTATATTGTTAATACTACTACCACCATTCTTTCTGCTGCTTAGAAAATGATGATAGTAATGACAGAAACAACGATAATAATTGTAATGATAATAGTAATAATAATAGCAATAATAATATAACAATAATAATAATAATAATAACCATAGTTATAATAACGATTATTACGATGATAATAGTAACATTATACCAATAACATATGTATAACAGTAAGAACTGTAATAGTACAGTTAACCATTAAATCATTGTTAACTGGATTTTTTGGTTCTTTTTTTCATAACTCTTAAATCAAAGATGGAGTGATTGAATAATAATATTTTGATGACTACTTTTAGGCGTAAGCTTAAATATTTCACATTTTCAAACAACATTCATCGGGATAATAATATTGTTAAGGGAATTAATCATTTAGTTGTTAGCTGTAAATAAAATTTTAATAATTGACTTTGCAAGGCATTTATCCTAAAACTGTGAGAGCCATGCAACTGTTAACCCTAATTAATTATTCATTATACGTTTCCGAGAGATGTTCAATTTTATGAAATCTCTTAGTTAGTTTTATTCCATTTATAGTCTGTCTCTTCAGGATTTAATTAACTTTAGAGATTTAAATTCATATACAATAGTCCTACACATGGTTTATAAATGACTATATCCCCACATCTGTACTGGGGTGAGAATGATGTGTAATGTTAATGTGTCTTACTCTGGACGTTGCATATACCAGAGCCAAGTCTCTGGAAAATATTTACGAATGGCTGGACCTGCTGAAACCGCCGAAACTGAAAGTGCTTGTGCAAAGTCTGCCTGAGCAGCAAACGCGAACGCTTCATTCCGAAAGTAATATGCTGTTTGGACCGAAACATAATTTACGAACAGAAAGGATTATTTGTAGGAAAATGTGTTCTTACCTTAGGAAAATAACCTTTATTTAGAAAAAAATCTTACAACATCTACATATGATACCGGAATAATTGCAGAGTTTATTCATGTACGTAATTTTGTCTCTATCCTTGAAATGTTGTTTTCCATTATATTTCTAATCAGGCGTAATACGAGAACATTCATAGCGATATATAATTTCCATCATTCATATTCAAAGGATGCCATGTTTTTTCTATACAGCACGATAGGTAATAGACATCACGGAGTAAATACCCTATGAAACACGATCGCTAAGACTTTAACAATTCAACAAAAGACAATTTCGGTAGGCATGTGAGTCACCTATGGAAGTTTGAGAATGTGACAATAAATATATATATATATATATATATATAATATAATCCGTACAAATTTAAATATAAAGTACAAAAGGTGTTATGAAATTGGCCTACAGTTGATTTCTTCAAAGTCTGTGCGACCACGTTTTTAATTACACGTTATATTTCTTACGATAGGGTTCTGGCGTCTGACATGGACTCGTCTCGACTTTAAGATTAGAAATCCGAACAAGACCCAGTTGCTGGAATGAAGAAAAAGAAGGGAAAAAACGCAGATGAAATATTCTGAATCCTCACGTGTCTACAACAACATTAATTTGACTATCAAATTTCTTTTCCCATCTAATGAAAAAGGGAAGTTAAGTCGTAAAGATCGTTCACTTGGTATAAAAACGATTTTGAGTTTGAGACGTACCACCTCTTCTCGATCACCTTGATAAAGCTTGAGGTTGATATAATCATACTATCAGTTTATAACCGGTTATTAAACGCTTCAAATCCAGGCTTGACTGCATCAATGATTTTACAGGGAAAAGGGACAGCTCGATCCCCTCCCCCCCCCCCCCCGAAACAAATAAATAAATAAAATTATGAATGTATATTATTAAATACCAATTTGAGCAAGGCGCACGAAGACCATCAACGCAAAAAACCCAAAGCCACCCAGTCTGCCAAGCTGCCAAGTTATGTGACAAGAAGATATACCGAATTTTAGATCTGTGTTTTATTTCTTAAAATCCGGAGGAAAATTTTTGTAATGCTTGAACACCTGAGAGCCATTGAAGTTTCCCTCCGACTCAAACCGGATAGAACGTAGACAAATATCATTGAGCTCTGTGTGAATCATTTTCGTACTATATTAAACACAAAATTCTTTGTTGTTTATTACGTTTTGATGACTGATTATTACTTTTTAAACATAATCTCACCTCAAATTCCCTGGTCACGTCGGAGTATAACGGATATGGATCTCTACGATACGGTGAGAAACCAAACTGTCGCTTCTTGCGAGCTAATACTTGGGGTTCCAGTGCTACTTCAAATACTGGCCGCGGTATAAAAGGTATAGGGCCGCCAACTCCGCCATCATCAATATTGATTGGTTCGTCCTCGTGATCCTGGCACCGCGGATTATCATTGTCACCTGAGCTCAACTGGAATGTGTTCAGAAAGCTGACCACCTACAATGAGAGAATAGAGAGTATTGCACAACTTACGGCATGCAGAAAGTGTCTCTTCATATTTCTTCTGTGAACTCCTTATTCATACTCGACAATTAAAAATAAATCACTATTCGGGAATAAATTCTCCAAAACGAAATATAAAATAACTGGTCTAACCGTCTGTGACCCCATCCCTACAATCTCCGAGCATGGCTTCAAGGGGTGTATAGGCCTATCCCAAACGGATACTTTTTTTTATTTTATTCTCAATAGTGGGCTGTGGCCCCGGCTGTGGCCTCGCCCGATTCTATTTTTTAATTTGTAAATAATTTTTCTTACGTCGCTGGTCTTCATCTGGTTGTTGCCTCCGAGAATATGCACGCTCTTATCGACCACTCCGACAGCGCACAACGATCCGGGGGATGCTATGATCTCGATGCTCGTCCGTGCCCCCGGCTCGAGTGTGGCATCCTGTCCGTCGGCGACCTGGATGTGAACCTGGGAACAGAAATGTCAAAATCCAAAGAGGAAGAATACTTCTGGTATTGTATGAAAAGAATCTTGGGTTTTCTCGTATTTCCTATGATGATAATTATGAAAGAAGAAACAGGTAAATTTATACTAAAATGAAATACTCTTCTAATGATCTTATATGCATATTTGAGTATTTTATACAAAATAGTTTAAAACGTTGACAAATAAATCCTGGTGCCACATGTTCATTTAACCCCTGCACCCAGACAAGTGCTAGGTGTTTGTCATGGGTTAGTGATTATATCTTTTCACTTTTCTATATATGTAATGGTATGTAATAATAATAATATTTATTTTTTATGACCTCATGTAACATAATTTGCTGTGTATTATAGGCTTATGTATAATGTTTATATTCCAAAAATCATATTATCAGTCATTAATGATAGCCTCTAGAAGAAAAAAAATTTAGACTTAAACTGCATGACCAGTTCCCATCTTTCCCATATTTTCCTTACATCTGGAGTTCTAAATTATCCATAATGGTGTTGTCACGTACCTAATCAAGACCGAGATCTGTTATTTGCGACTATTTTGTGTTGCACAAACAATTCTTCTAAGCCTATTTGTTCCCACTGTTTTGTGCCCATTGGCACGTGTGGCAAATGAACGACTATGACAGATGGTAATTTTGGCAAATGAAAGATTAATGACGTGTTGGTGGTTACCTCATTCTCAAAGACGGCTTTGCTTTCGATTTCCAGACTATCGGCGATCATCTCTCCGTCATCAAGGATACCAAAGACTAGAAGGTCGAGAAACGGGGTCATTAACGGCGTGAGAACAAAGGTGACGTCATAAATGATGCCGTTTGCGCTCTCCTGACGGGATGCCTTGTATTCGAAATCCTGGAGGATGTTCCCTCGAGACACAGCCTATGATCATGGTAAAAAGTTACTCGAAAGTAAGTCCTGAAACATGCTTATTTTCAAGATTTAGTATGTTCTAATAGTATGTTAGAGAGTTTCGGAGGGGAAAATTATATTCATCATAGTTGTATCTATTTTGTTTTCTTGTGTCTTGTATCTTAATTAAAATCTACATTAGAGGTGTTCTTTACAGAGGAATAAAATTGTCAAACAAACTTTTTAGTCATGTTAGTCGAAGCAAAAGCCTGACTTTTTTTTAATTTTAAGCTCGCTATGAAACTGACATCAGCCGTGACAGAATGGATTCCTAGCTGTGGTTAGTTGGTACATAAGGAAAGGCTCTTGGTTATCATCCGAGAGAACCCAGGTTCGACCCATATCTGTATCTATCGACCCAAGTTGTAGATTGTTGGATATCTGGTAGTGCTGGGGGTAATAATTTTGTTCATAGATCGTTAATTATATTATTTATATATTAATATATCAGCTTTTTGCTGGCTGACCAACGGAACGAGCAGGAGAGAGCCACAGTCAACCTGTGTTGGTACAATGTGGGAGTCTATTCTAGCCGTGTTGATCCAAGGTGAGAGTTATTAAAAGATTAAAGAGATTACTGCACATGCTCACCAGTATCTTGGGTCCATCAGTGCAATCCTTGGTCATGTGGACTGAAATAGATACGCTGCCGCCAACTTGTATTGGATTGCCAAATTGGATCACCGCTTCGACCTCCAGATAGTTGTCGGTCGGGGAGTACATAGGACTCAGACTGAAGTAAGTGATTGGTCGATTCAGGGTCCAGACATCGGGGTCATATGGAATGTTCTCTTGGAAGTCTTTGGCTGTCACCTAGGAGGAAAATATAGCGCAATGTTAGATGTCATATCTTGTCGTGAGTTTACAGTATAATTGTCAAATAAACACATGAAAATGATATGTAAAAAAAGAAATTTACCAATGTTTTATATGGATTTGCTTTGCATATGGTCAGAAATTCGTTATGTACATAAATTAATAAAAGTAAAAGATACTCCCAATGAACAAATTTGGAATAATAGTAATATTGTAATTGATAATAAACCTCTGTATTTCTCGTCGTGGATAAAAGAAGGAATTTTTCAAATCAAACATATTATAAATCAAGGTACATCAATATATAACTCTCTATTCAATAACTATTTTGATGTAAAGAATCTGTTGTTTTTATTCAAAATGTCAAAATTATAATAAGCATTCCCAAAATATTGGTCACAAAATTTACGTTTAAACAAAGCTTTAAGTGTCAATGAAACAATGTACGTTGAGACAATTTTAGATGTTATAAACGTTGAACGTACCAAAGCGACAAGTTACTATAATTAAATGCTAGAAAGGAAAAAAGAAAAATTGGTTTCCATTTCTGGCAAAATATGTTAGGCCTGCCAGAAACATTTGTTTGGAAAGATGTATTTCAGTTCAAATTTAATAAGATAAGAGACGATAATATCAAACAATTTAATTTCAAATTAATTCATAGGATATTGCCCTCTAAAGACAATCTCTTTAAATGAAAAATCGTACAGCCTAACGAATGTGAAATTTGTCGTGAAAAAGAAACTATTGAACATTTTATATTTCGTTGCAAGAAATTAAGAGTTTTCTGGAAAATTATCATAAGAATTATATATTTCATCTTTAAAATAGAAATTGAAATTGATATGAAAATGTTATTGATTGGATATAAAATAGATAATAGAAAATTTATTTTAATTTATTTTTGATAAATTATGCTCAAATGGTAATATACAAAGACTGCGTAAAGCGGAACTTTAGGGAAGTACCAACCAATCCAAAGAGGTTATTAAATAATTTTATTTCTTCATTGAAATAATATTTGAAATACAAAGAAAATATAAGATACTTCGATAATGAAGAAGCTAAGAAAGTATTAGAAATGTATAATGATCATTTAAGAAATTATATTATCTTGTACATAATTTATATGGTTCATTTTACTTGTTTTGTAAATAATATATATGTATTTTTAAATGTAACAATAAAGTCCCTCTGAAGAGGTAAAGAGAGAAGAAATAAATCTTGTCAGGCCGTTTCGGATTTGGCACATAAAGTTCTTAGTATCTTCTTCTGTTTTAAGTACATTACATCTATAATCCTACAGCTGCTTGAGTGCAAAATGCCGAGGTACGGTTACAAACGTGGGTTTCCATAAAGGAAACATATTTACACGGAGCAATGTGCACTATACCAATGTCATTGCCAGCTCCATCAAAGCCTGACCCTTCACCTCATTTTTTACACTATTCGAAGTGAGTTTCAAAATCGGGTTGCAGCCCGAAACAGTGATTTGTGGTAGAACTGGGTTCAGGCGAATATGGGATTATGAATCTGTGATTGTTCGATTCTTTATGGTATCACATGCGATATTCACTTTTTATTGGGTTAACTTGTTTTTCTATCATGGGTAAGTGCAAGAATGCAAGGATATAGGTCATTTAAATATGATTTCTTTTTTTTTCTCGTGAATTCTACCTTACCCGTATTATAAGTAAAGAAAAGTCCTTTCACCATGACAGCTTAAATATCCCTTCCTTAATAGTGACAAGTAGAATACGACCTTATCTTTCGTTCGAAAATCTTATAAGGATGTACACGTACAAAAGTAACATATGACAATAACAACACACGCAGTAACTAACAAGGTTTGACAGCTTTCTTAAATAAATGCAATGATCTCGGGTTTCTGATTTCAGGAGGCAGAGAGTTGTGTATGTTCCTATGTGCCTCATAAAAGAACAAATAAGAGCCACCTGATTTATTTCAAAACAAATGTTGGTTTGACTTGTGGGCTAAAAAGAAGTAAGATTCGCCATCTTACATTGCAACTGAGAGAGTTTCCACTATCGAATCCTTCGTAGATTCCCTGAAGTGGTAAAGTGAACACAGCGAATCCTTGGTCATTAGAAGTGGCTTCTACAGGGGAATCCAAAGCATTGCATCGCACGATAATGCTCTCACCAGGCTTTGGGGCTCCATCGGGATTAGTCACCTCGACCTGATAGAAACGCAGAGTAGAATGGAATACAGTAGGTATGGTAAGGGTGATCAGCTAACATCTCTTTTGTTTCCTTCTTTGTGGAACTGCTAATTCCCATAACGAATTAAAATAGAATATGGTACACGAATCACATAGACGAGGCCGCTTGCCTGGGCTAATCATGGACTCATGTCTCATTCCAGGTTGCAAAACATATTGGAAGATGGATAAAGAAACACAATAAATTATTTTGATCTTTGTCCTGTGTCTTTATATTTTCTTTGCTTTCCTTGCATTGTATTTAAACAGAATTACAATAGACAAACTGACATAACCCACTTATTAAAATATTTCATATTCATTTATGTATGACAATGTCATAACATATTTGGTATCAAAATTATGAAAGAGGATGAATTGGAAAGTTGACATGAATAATAAGACTCTATCAGGAATGATATTTCTTTCTATTAATTGATGGAATATTCGAGTTTCCTTTTTAAATAGTAATACACAATACTTATTAATAAATATAAACAATATATATATATGTAAATGCAGAATTTCGAGTAGCCTTTTTATTTGAAATATTTGCCGGCAGAAGATAATAATTATGGGTAATTATGGGGTGTCACCCCTAAATTGTAACAAAATTGTTCGTTGAGCAATGATCTTGAACATACCGCTCCAAAGTATGGTAGTGCAGGCTTGAAGAAATTGTTTTTGTTTATAGCCCTCATGGTTAGTGTATATGAGCTCATACGGGACGTAGATTTATCAGTCAGCGTTTCACCTTCAAAGACAAAACACAACTTTAACTCAATATAACAGAAAGAACGATGGGCATTATCATCATATTTTTTTTTTTGGGGGGGGGGCGCTAAAGGAGGTTAGAAAGAATGTTCCTTCCCGTCCCCCCCCCCCCCAAAAAAAAGTGCTCTAAAGGAGGCCCCCCCCCCAAAAAAAAAAAAAAAAAAAAAAAAAAATTGGTCCTTCCCCCCCCCCCCCCCCCCCTAAAGCCACTGATTCAGAATAAACTATCTGACGACGTAATTTTCCAATTTCAGGAGCCCCAAAACAATCAAAACAACAACAACTTGCGGGATCATCGGATGACGGCTTGTCCTTACACAAGTTGTGTACAAAACAAATTAATGGAAAAGCTCACAAGTCATTTTGGAAATTTAATCGGATGCAATCCAACTCCTATATAGGCTTAATGCATTATTTTGTATACAAATTTCCTTATTCCATTGTGTTTTAGATTCTCCCCTCTAAATTACGTCTTTCTCTACTGCTACGTTTTTTTCATTTTACAATACTTATATTTCCAGGAACCTATGATATACAAGCACTGCTTTTTAATAGGTTTCTTATATTCTTCTTAATCTATTATATGAATTGAGAATCTATTATATGAATTGAGAATCATTGAGACTGCTCATTTATACTACATGTATTGTATAATTTGTTTTGATTTGAATGTATGTCTATTTTTCTGTAAAATGTGGAACAATAAAAACTTGGAAAAAACTTGAAACTTTAAACTTTTACCACAGCCACTAAATTGCCCGGGCCTCATTCATCAGAGATGTAGGGCTGATGTTGTGATTACACTTGTGTGTTGGTTAGGGTGCGGGTTATGAGTGAGGCTATGTACAGTTTCAATACTTTTTCTTTGAAACTAGAGTTAAAGTTAGGAATTAAGTTAATATAGGGTAAAGACCAGCGATCAATTGTCGTAAGAGCATGTGTCGTACGCCAATCATCCGTACCTGTAGCCGTTTCGGTAAACCTGGCGGATACTTGCAGATTTCCATAGATATAGAACTTTCTCGATGTGAGCTCTAAGCGTGTGAGATTAACATTGATAACAGCACAACCATCGGCGTCAGTACTCTAATAAAAACAAAATAGAAAACAACAACAAATTAAAGAGTAACCTACGTGATAATTAAAACAACATAACCAAGTTTATAAACAGATATATATGATTAAAATATTCGGATAATGCTTAACTATGAATTATCAAGAGAAAAAAAAGACATATTTGGAAAAATGCATGTAGTGACCAAATGTCACGATTTTTAACTTTTGTTGAGATTGTATCTTATTTGTTCATGTGTAATAACGTTTACAAGTTTTATGCATTGATTTGAACATGTTCGTTATGTATTGCTTTGCCATTTTTTAAATGGCGATCCCTCGCGTGACATTTTTCCGCTCCACATGTCTGGCTTTGCAGACATGTTCAAATCTGTTCTGGCTGGTATATTAATATATTTGTTTGTGACGTAGATATTCCATTGTTACGTACAGCGCGTATGCTAGTATGTTAATAATATACGCGTATTTCAAATTATTTTCAACCAATCACGCTTCTGGCTCTTCAATTGCCGTCATCCGTTGTGTTGTGTTGACTCTTCGATCATTATCATCGTCATTACCATGATTGCCATCATCTTCTAATCATTGTCATCGACAACCTAACTGAATTCGTCTATTGACTGTTTCATCAACATTGTCACTGACATCATCAACAACAACATCATCGCACTCATCATCATCGCTGTCATCATGGTCTGCCTCATTAACATCGCCATCATTGTCACCATTATTTTTGCCCCCATTTCGCCGTCGTACGTCTGCAACATGATTCTTGACTTCGCCGTGAATGCTGTTTTGGTTTGATGTATTTATTTTTGAATCTTTGCAGAATTATTTGATGTGCGCTTTTGCGCTTGATTTTTGCTGATTAATTATTGTTGTGTTTGTATGATTGTATATTATTTGATCGTGACGGTGATTAACCTCGGGGTGAGTTTTTTACTCCTTTGTATAACTTGTAATCCTATTAATTATTGTATTGCTTTTTGCAATATACAGGAGACTAAATGTTATTTTTGTGATAATTATAGACGTCTAGGAGAGTGATCCGCTCCATTTGCTATTTGTATATTGAGTGTATTTTGTGTATGCCGAAACGATTATATAAACCAGATTATTTGTTTGTATTGTTTCGTTTTAAATCGTTGATATTTAATTATATATTTATGTTGTTTGATGGTGTTTTTATTCGAAACTGGAGTTGTGATAACCTTTAGCCCCCCAGCTTCTCTCAAATGCTTGCATAGAGCTAGTTGTCAACCTTTTGACTATAAAGTCCAAATTGTTTTGAGTATTACTATAAAATATCATTCACAACAGGATGATCCCGAATGTGCATGGCTTCTGCCATTGCACAGTTGTTTGCGTAATTTCCTTTCGAAATATATTATTATTACAAAACAGACAACGGTAGGAAATATTTTCATACTAAATTTGAATAGAAAAAAAAAGTATTTATTGTTAGCAAACGTCTAAAAGAGGACTGAAATTTGAGATGTCCTCTTTTACACAGACTGTAAACATATAAACCCATAGCAAATACGGGCTAATTTCACGAGTGTGGGGTTTTGATTTGAAATTTGAAATTTTAAATCTGATGGTTCTACACGGATTAGTGATTAATAACGAGAAGAGGAAATAAATCACATAAAAACGTACCGGTATGGCGAACGGCAGAACCTCTCTAGAAGACCGAGTTCTAGTCCTGTAGTCGTATCGCCCCCCGTCAGCAGTGATATTTGCTTGCACAGATCCTTGAACGGGTTTACCATAGGTGTAACTGCCCAATGATTAAAAAAGAGCAAAGATTGTCAAAAGCTACTCTGACATGGCAGTTATAATGCACTCGAATTGCGACAGGTGGAGCTGCAGATAGCTAAAAAATTTAAGACAATGTGCGGAATATCCTCCCCGGCTACAGCCCACGAAACCGACAGCCCACGAAACCGACAGCCCACGAGACAGACATGGTCGGTCTCGCAACATCTGTGAAAAAATAGTCAGAACCCCATGAAACCAACGGCCTAAAAGATCGAGAGGCTACGGCAACGATATGCCTGTCAACTTTTGTTAGGGTTCACTAGACATTGTCGGTTTCGTGGACCGTCTGTCCGTTGCCTAATGTCGGCCTAATGTGATGTCTCGTCTTCCGCCAGATCATGGCGAATCTTGATGTCTGATACCTACACTAAAACACTCACGGCCTATTTAGTTTGTATGACATATATATATATATATATATATATATATATATAAAACTTGATACAGACATGATAAAAGTAACAATATGAGTCCATTGTGATTTTTACAAGTTTCACTTACGTTCCACAAACCTTGACTGTGCAAGTAGGATCGGTGATGAGAATGTACGGAGGTGTTATAACTTCAACCTCAAACCTTGGAAGAACTGTTATGGGAGAAGATAAATCAACATCGCTTGAATCAGTGCTTGGTTATTGTCTTCTTTTCGTGATATTATTATAACTGGATAGAATGAAGGGGAAGTGTATAACGGAAAATACACAAACGTGCAGCCTCCCAAACACGTAGTGTTACGGAATTTTATTCGAATGCCGACTACCCGACTTCGCCAGAGACGTCAATTTTATTTGACACAAGTGTGCGTCAATAACTTGTCGTGTCATTGACGCACCATGTGGGGGTGACATTGTAGACACAGCGATTGTAAATGAACAATGTAAACATCGTTTTGAATTATTGACGTATGGGCTAACTACAGGTTTAAATAGAAAGGGACAGGTGGTGACGTTTCTGGGTATACAACTATGTCACGGAATAAAGTAGACACTACTCACCGTACTCTTCAACAGTAAATGTCTGCGTTACTGATTCGGTGCCTCGCAAGACCTTGATGTAGTAAGTCAGTTTCGTGATCCCGTCCGGGAGCTCGTCCGGGAGTTCGTGCTCGAGTTCAATCAGCCCTTCCTCACCCTTGACGTCCGTCCACTGGTTGACGCGCTGGCGAGACTGACTCTCCACTATAACAGAATCGAACTATGGGGAAATGGATTATCATTTATTACATTACGGTAATCAAAGTTATTTGTATTTTGACCGGGTACAATAGTGAAGGTAATCATTATTGAACTTAAGCTAACGCCTTATGCAAACAAGGCGTCATTTTTACTTGCGTTAATTAGCCTCTCCTTCAAATTTACGGTTGACGGTATTCTTTACCTGACTGCTGTTAAAATCATTTGAATGATATCAAGTATGCAACAAAAAGATCAACGGATTTAAGTCCTCTCTGAAAGACTTTCAAGTAAAAGGACCATTGGTCTGCTTACTGAGCCTTCTCTTGTCTACTCGAACCAATATTCCAAATTCAACTAGACATTATAGTCCTGTATTTTAAACTATCAATATCAGAATAGATTTGAATTATAACATGATTTTTTTCTAGTACGTAAATAAATTCTGAAATATGAGGTTGAGTTCTGGGCCCAGTCTTATTAAGATTTGCGATTGATTTCGATCAATCGCTAATTCTCTAATCGGTCATAAGTATGCAGTCCCCTATCTTTTATGTTTATAGCTGCAATGTATATAAATCGCACATTAGTTGTTATTAATCGCATCTGTTTATTAGGCAGGGCCCCGTCAAGCGATTACAGCGTAAAATGAATTGGAAGTCATTTGAAAAGGCTAATTTTGTGCAGTACATAAAAATTGGCGCATACTTTAAGGCTTGGGAATTATCAACATAATCAAAATGACATGAAAGTGACCCAATTTTGTTGAAAGTAATGACTGTGCAGTGCACACAATAATGTGTAGGTTTATATGCGGCTGGCATAGAGGTCCTCTACGATATGGAATATGGAGGGATTTTCCAAACTATCATAAATAGAATGGAAAATATTTTATTTTCTGACTTTTGCCCGACTCAACTTTATCTTCATGGTGAACACTTTGATTAATACTTACTGGTTCTGTGACGGTTTTCAGTTCACTGTTCAATGTCAGAGCACGGAATCTCACTGGGAAAACAAGAATATCATACAAAATGCATGCCTGCTCAATAGAATTAAAGAACAATCATACACAAAACAAACGTGGATATTGATTTTTGTTTTGTCATTGTCATGCATGAATGAATATGAAATATTTTAATAATAATATGAAAGAATAATTATGAAGGAATTTGTAAAATTACAAAGTTCTTTATTAGTTCCATGATAACCCTATTAACACCAATATAGATTAATCTTGTACGGGAAACAGTATAATCTATTCCATAACAAATACAATGTGGCACGTGGAGATAACTTGTGTGGCAACGGGTTAATCTTATGATTAGACACTTACCTGTCTGACCGGGTTGGTAAATGGGTTTGTCAGTCTGGACGTAAGTTTTCGACCCGCCTTGGGCCTGGATCCTCACGAATCTCTCTTTCGTGACTTCATATCCGTCCTCGTTCAAGTCTTCGGCTCCCTTTCGTCGCAGTTGAAGACGAACTTTCTGTCTTTGATTGGATCCCGACTCGATCGTTGGTACCTGAAAAGAGTAGGCATCGACTTATAACTTGTTTATCATGGTCGCAAAGACTGTCATGGAATCAACTTTGATATTAAAGCGTCATTTCAAAACCCTATAATTATTTCCCCTATATAAATGATCACATTGTGTAATAATATATTTTGTTATGTTCGCGCATTTCAATTCATGCAATAGGTGACTTGATTTTGATTTTTCAATCATGTTGTATACAACTGATGAAACAAGGAATCTTTTGCACGCCTTCCCATTCAATCGACGTTTATTTTACAGGCAAGCATGAATTGCGTTTAGTTACTAACATAACGACGGACACCTTTCAAAGTGTTCTTCGAATTGATATATTGTTACTCAAAAAGACAATCTATGACTTACATCAAATTCGAAACAGTTCTCTCCTTGTTTAGCCTCCTGTTCTCCAGGACTCCAGTATTCTTCGTATTGACCTGCATTTATCTTCTGGAGAGACACCCGGTAGTCCAGGAGACCGTCGCTCTTGGTTACCAGGAGACATATCCTCTCTTTGGTTTGCACGTAGAAGAGTTTAGGGATTAGGAAGAGGTAGGAGATTTCCTTGTTGAAATCCTCTTCTCGGAGTTCCTCAGGGCTTAGTGGTAGTGCTGGACTGTACATCGCAAATAAATGAGATGAAGAATTATTTCACCCATTCACCTGTCCACCTTTAACACTTTCATTTCACTGTAAGGTGGAGCATGACGTTTGCTTTAATAACTTCGTATGGGGTACACATTTGTTAGACTAAATTATGTTCTGGTATCCGCTTTGTTTCTAAATATTCTTTCAAAGCATATAATTACTTTTGTCATGTTTATATTGCATCAACATGTGATTGTTATAATCATAAGTGGACTAAAATATAGCAAACGATTTACTGCACTTGGCCTTTGTAAAAAAAATTATCCTCGACACTTTCATATCCACCCTTTTCGCTCGACTGGCTTCAAACATCTTTAATGCTACCTAAAGTCAGCTTGGTCATGCTGGAAGTGCGGCTCAAGCAAGTTTGCAGGTAAGACGAATATGAATCTTGAGGCTAACATTTTGTTGATAGAAAATGAAATATGCCAGAAGATTATGTGTTAATCAATTCTGTTTTTGTTATTTTGTTCTTTGCAGTTTTTTCTGGGAAATTGTCATATTGCCTCTTTTAATTTACCCCCAACTTGTCCGAAAGACTAAAAGTGAAAAACACAAAATGGAACTCCTTTTCTACTTGTCTATACATAAATCTAATGTAAAATTACATAGTATAACCGTGAACATGAAACGAAATATGAATGTAAACAATCGACCCTTAATGCAAGTTCGTTAAATAGATTACTCTTTTAGAAAAAGAAAAAGAAAATCCTTGTTATTATATGCTTTAAAAGATTAATGGTAGACTCATGTTATAATATGATTGTAAAGTTTCTAAATGAATATATCGCAAGGACTTTCGAAAAATCAACTTAGATCGGATAACGCAATACACCATTGTAATCTTCGTTCCTTCAAAAGAAGATGGGCAGGGCAATTATGAATTAAAGTTGATTTTTCGAATGTCTGTTGAAATTGGTGTTACTATATTTTCTTAAAGCCTTACGTTGTAGTCGGTTCGGGTAGTTGTGTAACTTCTTCGGCAATTGGAGGTAAAGTGAGAGCCACCCGCAGTTCATCTCCATCTTCCTGTCCTCTCACCATCACTGCGATAGTGAAGATGAGAAGACTTACGATAAGCCTCATCGTGGTGGTAGTCGTGATCGAGTAAACGTGAACCCTCTCTATGATATCAACAGATATAAAACAAAAAATAAGATGAAAAAGGTGAAAAGGACGAAGGGCGTATTTTTGCTACAACTCTAGCATTACCTCATTTGTAACAACTCGTTATAATTTATTCACCATTTCTATATCCACCAAACCTTAATAGGGGTGCCATTTTGATAGGGGTGTCTTGATCAAGATCTGCCGACATTTTTGCATTGATATCTACTAAATATGTTTCGGGGAAGGGGCATATTGTTTTGCTTCTGTCTTTTTCTTTCTTTCCATATTTCTATTTCTTTCTTTTTTCTTGTTTGCATTATCCCATTTGTTATCATTATTCAAGTATTTGGGGCCGCCTCGGGGGGGGGGGGGTGAACAGTATCACACTATTCATAGTACGATCGATGAACGGCCTCTCTCCAAGTTTGAAGCCCATGAAGAAACAACAATCAAGAGAAGTTGCATATGAAGGCTTATAGCATAATAGGCAGTTCTGGGTAATATGCGTTCCGCCCCGCCCATGTCCGTAGAGGATTCTGCCCGTATTAATTGGTGTATGGATACGCCATTGAAGGAAGATGCATTAACACTTTAAATTGAAGGAACAAATCTCGTTTTCTTTTTGTACCTTCACGTTAAAAATAATGTTTTGAAACACCTTTCAAGAATGCACTAATGGCCTGCAGTGGTAAGTCTGTATATTGGTATAGATATATGTAGAGAAGAAGCTTGAACACAAATTTCACAAAAGCAATCCAAATTTGTTTTGCTCTCCCTCTTTTCCCCTATCTCATCTTTCAAAAACAATTCCGAGTAAACAGGAAAGGTTCATTGATCAGCTACAAAAGCTTTATTGTCTAAAAATCGATATTTCAAATCAACACCTGGAATAATATTGCACGAATGCCTTCAGAATTTCAAGCTTTGTTTTGTTAATGCCACGTAACGGGTCGGGGATTCGTATTTTAATACATTATGACCCATAACCTACTAAAATCATTCTTCATATAATCTAGTATGATTATTTCAAAAACTAACAATAAAAGGGTAAAAAATAGTATAGTAATAATTGCTGATTTTATTTGATGTAATAATTAATTCATAGCCTTTATATTCGATTCTAAGAAGAACCACCACATATCAAGCCCGCTTCGGATCCCTGATCCCAGGGATTCTCACCCCTAAAAGATAATAACGTTTTCTTATACATTTAACCCGGAGCGGGAGAAGATCACAAAATTGTATAAAGGGGTGGTGGCATCAATTCCATCCAATTTAAGACACAATGAATCAGGCCAAAATTGTTGTGTTTTACAGGTACGCCAGTTTGGTTTGAAAGCGGTCACTCCCTTGCCCCCAAAGACAATGCACAACACAGAGAGTTATCTCTACGTCAGAAAGTTTTGTGATTTGAGCAAGAAGTTTTAAGAGATGGAGTCCTATCTAGCTCATTCCCTTTGTACCATCTTCGACATATGCTGCCAGGAGAAAATATGTCAGGCATGTGTTTAACTGGATCTTCCTTGTAGATACGTAGACAAAAGATTCCTGCGTAGCTACGAACTAACGTGCCCCCTTCAAAGGGAAATATGCTTTTGTAATGATAATTACTTTTCGCTACCACTCGTCTGATAATACGAGCAGTACACAGTGTTAACCTTTACAGGAGACAAGCAAAAGGAAATGGAGCAAAATTTTCTAAAATATTAATCATTATATTAAAAGCACTAATCTGACATATGACATCATAAATAACTGAACATGAACAAATTCACTCTGTATTTTCGCGAGCCGCAAGTAATCGGAAAAGTGTCAAATTGTAGGTTTTAGGACTGTGAATTTTTACTTTAAAAAAAAAAATTAAAGCTGCTATTATATATACAATGTCAGCAAATTTCTTGACACAATTAGGCTTTTGTATTCATATTTTATTATCTGTTCCATTTTCCCCTTGTTAGTTCAAATAAAAAGTGAAATATTAAGGATATTTCTTTGTGACAAAAATCACTACTCAAGCTTTCCAATGATATTGGCGGCTTCGAACCTCGGACATCTAAGGTAACAGCCCACCAGTAGATTCTATTGTGCAACCGTAGAAAACGACAGCTGCTTGGAATAATTTGTTGCCAGTTGGGTCTCTATCTCTTAAAACTCCTTGATTTGAGTGTCACTGGAGGATTATTATCAAACGGGTGCGCATTTTTTTCAGGGGGAAGAGGGTTTCTCTTTTATTCTCCCGTCTGTGACCCTGCCTCCTCTTCTGAAGTGCAATTTTGATATTATTCCATGTTTTCAGGCTAAATCACTTATTTGTATATGGCAAATGATACATCAAAGAAAATCCATCAACCAATTGACGATTTTCATTCCGCACTTCTTCTTTAATCATTTTTATATAAAAAATACGAGATATTCCTTATCATTATTGTCTGTTTTAATTGTTTAATTGCATCTTGAAATTGATTAACTTTTGTTTCCTAGCACGGTTCTTACCATGTGCGTAATAAAGAGCATGTGTTACTTAATTTCAAATACAATAAGCTTACAAATACCTTTGGGAACAAAGTAAAATAAAGATGAGGCATGATGTACAGCTTTTATATGATCCTTTGTTTGGGTTATTTCGGAAATGTGAGATACGTGAAAAAGCTACATTTCGATTAAGAATACAATGTTAAAAGTAAAACGTCCATGAAATACACGATTGTTTCGAAATTCCAAAATGCCCGAAACCTATTAGTGTACAGTTATAACAATTTTCCCTTTTTTTACGTATGAACTCGCTGAGCGCGTTTTATTTCATTCATTACATTTATTCATTTTATGTATTTCCATAATATCAGCAAATGAAATTCATAAAGCTTTTTGTTCTTACAAGACAATACATGACAAGATAAGCAAAACAACACAAGAAGAAAATGGGACATTTGAAGCAAGGTATTTGAAATTATATCCATTGATAAATAATGAACATTACGGTTATTGAATCAACAGGCGTTCTTACATTTTGCTAAACTCTTGGATTGCGCCACAAATAAGTCTTAGATCAAATAAGATATTAACAAAGTGATGCCTACCTTACTGATGATTATAGCCCAATCTGGAATGCAGACTCGGAAGAAACAAAATTCTTGTCCGACCCGATCGAGAACCAGAATCAGTTATGCCACGCGAACAACTAGGCTCAGTTTATCTGTGAAAAGTATGCAGATTTTGCCGATCAAAACAAGGTCATATCGTTGTCATCATTTCGGTCCCCTCCTCAAAATCGATATAATCCTCACTTAGCAGTTTTAACACTTTGAAGTCTGATCTGATGTCTGTATTGGAATTGGCGTTTGTTGTGCTGGTGAATAGCGTCATATCAAATATTTAATTTGATATCAACTTTTTTGCGTGGACATTCTTGGCATATAATCGAAATCACTCATATTTGTATATTAAAATGATCAATTATCTTCTAAGCCATCATCATCATAATTATCAATGCCATCATGATCATCATGATGACAATAACAATTTATTAATACAAATTTGATTTAAACAAATGATATCCCTAATTTCTTTCTTAACTGAGCCTAAGTAGTTTCAGTACTTTGTTTATGAACTCTCAAAAGTATATGTTTTCTTTTTTCAAAGTTGAATACATACCGAAATATACTAATAGTAACATTTCATCGGATTTAAAAACGTATTACCGTCTATACTATAATGTAACATTAAGATATTATAAATATGCAACAACGTTTTCTTGAACGAAATAGCAAAGCAAGAGAAAATAAACAAACCATTCATCCATTACGAGGAATTACTTTGTACATATGTTTTACACGTTCTTACTTATTCTCTATTGCTGTTAAGAATTTAGGTTCATACTATTATTTTTTTTTCCTTCATATTATTGTTCCTTATTATGTTTAATAGGGCCTCATGGAAGTATTGTTGGTGATAATGAGTCACCCTGTCTAAATATCAGAAATAGATAGATAGATACATAAATCATCATCACCACCACCATCATCATCATCATCTCCTTCACTATCACTACCATCATTTTCATCACTACATCATCATCATTATTATCACTATCAACATTAGACCTATCATTACCATAATCATCATCACCGCCATCCTTACAATTTGATTTCGAAATCGTCAACATTCTCTTAATCATCATTTGCATCACTATCATCATCATCATCATTATAACTACCATCATTTTCATCACTATATCATCATCATTATTATCACTATCACCATTAGAGCTATCGTTACCATAATCATCATCACTATCATCCTTACAGTTTGATGTCGAAATCGTCAACATTCTCTTAATCATCATTATCATCACCATCATCATTACTGGGCGGTTTGGCAGTTTTCCTCGTGGGCCGGTCAGTATTATATATTATGTGTTATGTGCCTCGGCGAAGTTTAGTTTCAAATATATACGAGCTGTCGAATTTTGAGAGGTTTATTTGACCATAATAGATATTTGACCATAGTATTTGACCACAATAGATACAATTATCATTAACACGACTGGGCTCAAAGATATAGTTAGGTTCTGGTCGTGCGATTGCATTGTGAAAGAAACGGTTTGGAATCGATCAGAAAAGGTTGATCATGTAGCATATAAGTATTGGTGCGTACTGCAAGGTTCTGGAGTCATCAAAATGATAAGACATTTGGCCCAGTCTTGGTAAAGTAAGAAGCACTGTGCACAGAAAGATGTATATGGGACTACACAACCATGTGGCATAAAATTCGGACCTCGCTTTTAAACTGTTACTTGTAATATTTAGGATATGGAGGCATTTGAAGAGCCTTGTTTTTCAGGGAACATTTTTTTCTCTAATGTTCTTCTACGCTTGCAAAATAACAATAATAACGCTGACAAATAATTGCTCACCTCTCCCCTTGCATAAATAAACCTTCTGTTTAACTGGGTTGAAGTTTGGGTGGTACCTGGATTCACGTAAACAAAACGACCTTCTTTGACCTTTTGTACATGTACCTGATGCATAGTTTAGTGGATTAATCACTGATCTTATTTATTTCACATAATGGTGTTAATGACGTAAAACAGAATCGATAAGCAAATTCCATAAACATCTGTTCATATCCACACCTCCTTCCCAAAACAACAGATGATGTCATCACTAATTTCATGATAGGACCAATCCGTTCAGATCGAAGGATAAGAACAGGGCGTGAATCATAACAGCAGAAACTTTAAACGAGATATCAAGCTCAGAATTGTGGCGCCGGTGGAGGGGGTGCGGGATTCAGGGAGACAGATACCTTTTAATGATTGTCATGATACATGTATATAGCCAATATAACAGTATGAGACAGCCGCGTTTGTTGAGGTCTTAAAGTGTAACATGGTCTTAAAGTGTAACACGACTCCCTAGCTCCTGAAAAAATAGTCCCTGCGTTGAACATGCGTACGTGGAGCTCGCAGACGCACTTTGTACTTTGAAAACTAGCTAGCAAGCACATCAAACAGCTGCATAACTATCCTGGCCAGTGTATAAGAAACTCTTTTTAGGCCTACGTTTGTCAAGAGACGAGGACCCTTTTCTCTTTCTATATAATTCCCTTTTTTTTATAATGACTTGTTTTCGTTTTTCACACTCGGGCAAATTTACAGGACCTATTATCTTAGGATCTGTGTTTTTCCTACTTTTTCCTTGCTTGTCAGCACCTCGCATCCTTACTAAAGTCATTCCCTGGGCCCTGCTTATTATTCCTACTTTAATCTATAATTTTTGTTTGACGCAAACCAATTCTCTTCCATCCCCTTCGTCTTCTTATCAATTTTATACCTTATATAGCAAAGATTTCGTTATATCACTGCTCTGCACAGCACTTGAAACATCGTCCTTTGCCATTTGCATTTTGTTTCATTCTTTCTACCTAATATTCTTCTCTTAATCTGTTTGCTGTACGTTTGCATTATCAGGTACTCCAAATGTATGCATTTTGCTTGAACATCTACTTAATTGTCAGCGCTCACAAGGCATTAACATTTGTTTATCTTGGAGCACTGGCCAGTTCTGTTTAAAATATATTCATATTTCTTTATGTATGTTTTAATGTATACTGATGTTTTTTTGTATTCAGAACTGAAAATGAATAAAATAAATAAAAAAAAAGATAGAAGACATATGGTATTAATGTAACTCTTCCTCGTTTCCTTCTTCTGTCGTCTTCCTTTCATTCATATTATTTCTTTTCCTTTCAATTCATTTTTTCTTTAATAAAACATTTCATGTTTCTTTTTTTTGGTAGTTCGTTTTTCCCATATTCTTCATTTCTTCCATAATTTTTTTTTTTATAAATAATTATGTGTCTTCGTTTTTATTTAATTCTTTTTACTTTCTTTCTATTCTTCCTTTCTTTTCTATCTCATTTTCCCTCCTATATTGGCAACGTTTTGTGTATGGGATAAACAAAAAATACCTACTCATGGAACTATGTGCTCTGATCGGTCTTTATTCCCTCTTTTTAAGATGTTGAATTATTGCTGCCAACTAGCTAGTTAGCCCAATTTAAGCCTCGGTCACAAATGCCATTACGAACTGCTACGAACGCCGTACGAACGATTTTCAGACAATGGAAATTCGAGAAGACAATGGAAAAACAGGGAGATTCGTACGAAATTATCGTTCGTACGAACCATTTGTGACCGTAGCATAAGCGAGAGCGAGCATATTACACATACAATCATGTACAGCTAGCTAGCTACAGCTGTGCGTACGCGCCGCGCGCACGCAGCGACTATTTTTTCAGGAGCTAGGGAGTCGTGTTACACTTTAGACCATGTTACACTTTAAGACCTCAACACGCGTTGCCATTTTCATGAAATATAGCCCATATAACAATTTGAGATAGCAGTGTTCTCAAGTTTTAATTACATAACAGTATAACAGCTGTGCTATAACAAACAACCAATAGTTCGTTGATATTGGTACAGCACCTTGGAAAAGGCCTCTAGAAAAAACATTATAGGGACTTGGTAAGATTGTTCAGATGAGGGGAAATGGTGCTAAGGTACTGACTTTAATGATAGATGTAAAATTAAAGATAATCTGAAAGTTTGAGTGAAAATGAACCATTAATAATGATACAAATCGGAAAAAACTGATTTGATCGATTCCTTAATTCTCCCAACTATATTATTACAATCTAATTACATTTTTGGTGAATGTGAATTGTCAAAAAGGAATGATTTAGCTCTATATTATTCCAGACATTTAAGTGTTGAAAGATTTTTAAAGCCTGTCTTATGTCTTATTTTCAAGGAAAAACGGTTTGGAAAATCAAAACAGGTTGGGAGAATTTACTGTTAATCACTGATAGAGGGTGTTTCACAGTGATGATATCAAATCAAACCATAAATATATTTGTGGTTTAAGAATTTTTTCTGGATTTTTTGCCTGTTCGATGGTAAGTGCAGTACAAGGAATGTAAAGTAACATATCATTCAAAGATTACACCGTTTATTCATCAACCTTTAACAATGTTAGCAAGTCAATTTAACACTTTGTATACGGTAGCTGAATGGTCCCTGTATTGTTTGATTCAGAAGACAACGGGTTAAAAACAATCCAAAAATTATTCTTACCAACATTAATTAATTAATTAAAAGTAGAAAGTTTTCATTGATAGATGAAAGTCTAAGATAAATATATACACCCCAAATCCCACTATGTTGGCTATCTTGTGTTTATCTTGTGTTTATTGTGTTTACTAGCTTTAAAATTATGTGAATCTTAATTTCCTAAAAACGACTGGCTCGTGCGTCTATAGCTGCTTATGCACACAGTTTATAAGTTGCACACACGTACGTACTTCGATTCGAACAATATTTATAAGTCTCAATATTTCAAGATTTTAAGATTTATTCATAAAATTCATGGACAATAACAAGAAAGTTATAAAAACATTGAACATGTCGAAAAGAAGTGGTCCGTAAAGAAAAACAGTTTGTTAAACACAGATCAACAACAAAAACGATTTTAAAAGAAGTACATCAATAATAAAATAGAATCGAAATAGAAATAGCAAATGCAAAATAATGATGATAGAATAGTAAAGAATAGGGGAAGGTGGATACATTTACAATACAGGAGGGGGGTCTATATTTGTGATCTTTCCTGATTTGGTGTTTGCAATTTTGTCTTGAACCCTTCACACCGTGTAATCTTATGTTCATGGGTACTTATTCTGAAAGTGCTTGTTCATTCTTGCAAAATATCCAATATCAAATGTGAATTTTGGTAGGTGAATTTCCTTGGTACGTTGAGCTGATACGGCACTACTCGCACCACACCTTAACATATCAGCGAATCAGAAGACCGGAAATATTAGTAATTTTCAAACCTGTTTGGGAAGAAAAAAATTGCGGGCCGGTAGGTATTACATAATTAGGTTTTCAGTTGCTGGTCAATTTGTGGTTGGCTTGTTGGTGTCGGCAAAATCTAGTTCCAGTTTGGTTGGAGCTATCAAATTTGTGAGAGGCTTGCCGTATATTTGACCACAATAGATACAATTGTTATTGACACGACTAGGCTCAACTGAGTTGAATTATGGGTAGTACCTGGATTCACATTTACCATCAAAACGACCTCCTTTTACCCTTTGTAAATGTACATAATACCTGATGACGTAAAACAGAATCAATAAAACAAATGTAAGAACATCTCGTCATATACCTCATTCCTAAAACAACAGATTATGTCATCACTAATTTCATAATAGGACCCATTCATTCAGATCGAAGGATAAGAACAGGGCGTGAACCATAACAGCAGTAACGTTAAACGAGATACCAAACTAAGAATTGTAGCGCCGGGAAAGGAGGGGGACGGGGCTGAGGAGAGGAGCTACCTTCCTTTTAAAAACAAATCAAGACAAGTCCCCTTCCTGCTACAAAAAAAAACGTTTCTGTGTGAACAAATTCCACGCATGTGATACAGATAGAACAAAGGCCCATGAAAAGGTAAAAATGTCCCTTCTCTATCTGCTGTGCACCTAGTAGACTCATAACCGAATGATAATGAATAATTCAGTTTTAACTATATATAATCTGTAAGGATGCCATCATCACATCATAACCTTACTTATCCACTTAGTCAACACCGTTTTAGGTCGTTTTAGGATGGTACTCTTTCTACGCCTTTCGAGTAACGACGAAGTATATTTAGCATACGAATGGTCTTTCCTAGAACCCATAATACGACATGAGTATCATGGTATTCTATACATCATATTAATTTTTTTTTTTTTTTTTACTGCACTCCCAAATAATTTCACTCTAAATGGAGTTCATTTATCACCAAGTTTGATACAGATTGTAAAAACTTACCATATTCTATAATATATTAGAAAGGATATAACATTTCAATAATCTTGCAAATAACATGGACCAGTTAAAGAGTATAGTCAATTACTGTACATATTTTATCTGCTGTATCAAGATTATGCAGTTCTTGGAAACTAAATTAAATCACTGAAAACACTTATGACCAAAATTAATTGTGATCCTAGTTTATATTTGTAATATTGATCATACGACCTACTCTAGCTTCATAGAATGATTCCTAAGAATTTAAACTAGAAACATTTAATTCAAGAATAGTATGTTCCAAAGTTTTGAATTCGCAAAACGTTCATGAAATCTAAGACATAGCAGAACGGAACTACATGTAAGATACATCTTAATTACAGCTTTATCACAGTCCAATAGTAAATCCCCATTGTATAATATGCAACAATTCATACATATATGAATACAAAACTTTGATATAGAAAAATATCCTCAAAATATAAACATATATAGTAAGTAAATTAGTTAAAGTTCTAAATTAAGGTTCACTTACTTTCCATGTCTTCAAATATACGATACATCGACGAGGGTTTTATTTACATATATAGTTTTTTTTATAATATATTGATATTTGTTTAAATAGATGCACTTGTACGAATAATAGAGTGAATTACATTCCAAGGTTTTGCATGTTTAACATTCAACACTTCAAACATTAGGAATAACAAAATATGACAGTATTTAGGTTCTTTCATAGCGCTATATCAGATTCAAAGCTGATCAAAGCGCTTTACAGAGCAGATTACCAACAGCATCAAAACCTCCGAGTCCAGAATATTCAAAACAATAACACATCCTACTACAATGCTAACATTTACATATGTATAAACTAGTTTTAAAATGTTTCTTAAATGATTTAGTAGGAGTTACCGTAATGGAAAACAATTTACGTGGTAACCTATTTTATATTACCAGGTTAATGTTTTGAAAACTTCGTTCTCCAATCTGTGAATTAATTCCAGGCCTTTGATTCTATTTAATTGATATTACGATATTCCAGACTGTTTGTTCCATACGTTATTTACCACATCTTAGATTTTAGAATATCTGATCATTGATTGTTTAGGTAAGATTAAATATCAAGTGAAATAATACATTTCATATCGATTCATCGGCAGAACAACACAATACTCGTATGGGAAATGAAATAGCCAAGTACTTTAATTTTAGGGCATTATATACATGTAGCATTAACACAGTGTAGTTTTCAGTAGAGCTTCTAACAGTACACCTAAAAGTTCCCTGTTCATTCATGGATCGTGAGACCGCTGTTGTAAAAGCCACTCGAGGCTGAACGTCTGCTACTCGACACTTGATCTCCACTTCGCTGACCGTACCCCTTAATAGAACGTTTGCTGTCAGAGCCTGGGTACTTGTTGTAGTGATTGGATTGTGAGCTTCCCATGCGTGGAGGCAACTTTAAATTAAAAAAAAATAAGAAGTTTTTTATTTTCACTTGAATTATTGTTTTGTGTTACAATTGAATGTTATAATTTGAGGAAGGTATTGAAGTACATGTATGCTGTGGTAAAAGATAGTGCAGTCTAATCAAGGTCTTACTCGTTTTGTACACTCATCTGTCATGAGATGATTTAATCTATTTTAGAATACTTTCAAAATTGCATGATCATTTGCTTTTTACGTATTACAATAACGATATAATTTCGTTGAAGGTTATGATAAAAGACAAGTAATCAAAATGGTATTTGTCAACGAAATCAGTCTTGAAGTCCTGTTGCTAACCATAGTAAAGAGTTTTTAATATATGTACACTGTCGCTCATAAAGGTGGAATATTTTGTTTTACCCCAATTTATGGAATTATTTTAAAAATAATTTAAAAATAATAGATCTAGATAATAGTTTACATTCTCAGATTTTATTGAATAATAATTTGCCAATGTGTGTTTTGCGTGACTGCTAAAGCATGTGTATGCTACTATGCTTATCAACTAGGGGACCTATGCCCTTAAGTCATAAAATGACAGTAATGAGGATTAATGCCCCACAAAAGGGCACTAATATAGCACATCGATACGGTTTTGATCATGAGGCCTCACAGTTACGAGGCCATTGCTTTGTCACTCAACCGTGACTGTACGCAGCGGGGGCTAGGGTAGGGGGCAGTTTCCATAAATAAAAAAAACACAGAAAATGCAATAAATTTTCAATAATTTGTTGCATGTTACCCCGGTCCCCAACATAAACAAATCTTCTGTGTGCCCATGCCTTGAGCCATAATGCATGACTGTCCAGAGGATTTTTTTATGTTGGGGACCGGGGTAAAATGCAATAAATTATTGAAAATGTATTGCATTTTCTGTGATTTTTTTTATTTATGGAAACTGCCCCCTACCCTGGCCCCCGCTGCGTACAGTCGTGGTTCAGTGACAAAACAATGGCCTCGTAACTGTAAGGCCCCAGGATCAAAACCGTGTCGATGTGCTATATTAGTGCCCTTTTGTGGGGCATTAATCCTCATTACTGTCATTTATGACTTGAGGGCGTAAGTCCCCTAGTTAATTAGCATAGTAGCATACACATGCTTTAGCAGTCCCGCAAAACACACATTGGAAAATTATTATTCAATAAAATCTGAGAATGTATACTATTATCTAGATCTATTATTTTTAAATAATTTTTAAAATAATTCCATGAATTGGGGTAAAACTAAAATATTCCACCTTTATGAGCGACAGTGTATATATAATTTAAAGAATTATGTTTTAAAAAGAACAAGATTATCAAAATGTATATGAGTGCCCCATTGTCATTATCATTTAGGTGTATGACCTATACGTGGACAGTACTTGACGTCGACGTAGTCGTTAAAGATCCATTTCGGCATAGCGTAACTAGAACTGAAATTGTTATTTAAGACTGCAGACTCAAATAGAATCGTGGTTGCTAACCCCTGTGCTGTATCGGGCACTTGAGCCTGAGCGTTTGCTACTCGGCACTCGGCGATCTCCACTTCGTTGACTAGTCCCAAGTGTTGAACGTGTGTTGTTAGAGCCAGTGATGTGATAGTACACATCTGATTGCGAGCTCTCAATGCGGTACGACAGCTTTAAATCAACGAGAAAATACGTTTGTTTGTTTTTTAATTTAACGATGCCAAATGATTTCATTAAGGAATTAATCGTATATAATGTGCTACAACTTACAAGATATTTGTATCCCATGGTCAAGAAAGTCGTTCTGCCTCATTTTGGTTTGCTAATATGGCTATGATTACGTAACCTTCTAACATTAGGTCGATTAAATTGCTACAGGTCACTCTGAAATTTGCATGTCATTAACATAAAAGTACTACAAGATCGAACGTATTCGTAGTGGCTTGACAGATTTGTATCATTATATCCTCTCACATATATTTTTCTATACACTTATGAACGGGAAAATCACTGATACAGACGAAAGAAAATAAATTTTGAATGTCGGTCAGGTACACTATGTAACGGTACTAGCTCAGACAAGTTTAACATTTCTAAATTTCACTTTACTAGGCCACATAATATTACATCTGATGTAAATGGGTGAGAGAACGAAAATCTCTAACAATTTGAGGGAAACTTGGGCATGCATATTCCAACAAAAAATATAAAGGCCATTTAATGTGAAATCATTGCTATGAATTTAAATCAATTTTGATAAATCTTCAAATATATGAACCTGATAGATATTGCATAATTATGATATAAGTTTACAGACAACAGCACGGCGTATACAAACCAAACAACTGTCAATTAAAACGAAACATGTCCAAAATATATTTACATAAATCATCGGGCAATTCCATATGCCAGGGATTCTTCTAAAACAATTTTTTTAAAGAGTTATTCATAGTTACTAGACACACTTATAAAGCCACAAGAAAGCATTCCTACCTGGTCGTTCGAGGTTCCGCTAGAGTGATGGGAGGAAGAAGGTCGACCTCTCATCACAAATTGAGCTATATGCTTCTCCCTCTGAATGCGGACAAAGTTCATGCATGCATATGCAGTGCAGGCAAAGATGAGGACCAAGGCAAAGCCCAGGCCAGGAACAAGGCCAGCAATAAGCCCGACGTTTAAGGAATCATCTGTAAGAATACGACAAGTATTGGAAATCATGGACAAGTCCAGTGTATTTGGTAATGCACTGTTCCCAAAAGTTACCAAGTACTGTTGAGTTCTGAACATAAATTTACATCAAATGTTACTTCGCTTTCTCTGTCCTTATACATGTTTAATGTACGTGTATGTATATCGGTGCCCTGCGTCATTGCGTCGTTTGTCTACACACATGTATCCATTTTTATTTATTCTGATTGTTAAAGAATCTGCAATTCGGTCATCTGGCCGCATACGTTTTATTTTTAATTAACCGTTTTAAAAAAATGAATAAATACACAAATATTGCACATGCTTGAGTAAAGGATTAGCATTCGTAGATCATTTAGTTCTTCATCACTTTCTCCGATTGCAATATTGAAATAAAAACATTTTGTTCGAACTCACCCGCCTCGTTAATTGTATTGTCCGCTGTATCAGATGCTATGAAAAGGTAAAACATTTAATTAATGGACAAAATGGAATATTTTGGTGGAAACCAACATGCATAATCAAGGGTTGGCAAAATGCTCAGAAAGGGAGCAAGAAATGAGAAGAAATGGAAATTGAACATGCTCTTGATGCTTAAAGGGGCGAATATGCGACTTGAAATTATGAAACAGTAGTGCTCTATTCTAATGTTATTTCAAATCCTGAACAGAAATGTAATTTATATAAATTAACACGCTGGGGATTAAGGCTGTTCTTGTTGTTGTATAACATCTTTTCTAATATTGACTACTCAAATGCCTCTATACTCTGGACTGTGAATCGGATACGATTCTGCGCCGATTTTGCTCATCTTCCATTCCACTCACAAGCATTCCAGTATGCCGTCACAGGCCCACTTCATTTCTCCTAAATCTAGCCACAATGAATCTGTCCCACCGGGAATCCATGTACCACCTGGGTGGAGACAAGCAATGCACGTAAAATGCAGTGTTTAAGGGATTCAATAGATTAATATATCCGTACCGAGCATACAGTAGCGTCCAGGGAGTGTGGCTGGGTAGAGGTCATCGTAGCCCTCATTACAGAGGCACTCAAAGCCTAGTCCTGGATCGGTGTTAATACACAGAGCATTATCTGCGCAGTCATGAGATCCATCAGCACATTCATCCACATCGGTAATTTCTTAAAACGAAAAAACGAAAGAGTTATTTATCTGCCACACCAGACCCAGGTGAGGAAAATGGAAACCATTGGGTGAATTTATTCCTTAAAATGCTTGTAATGGCAGCCGTGTTGAAAAGCAGGGATAATAATAATGGATCCCCATAATTGGCAATATATGTGCCAGTCATGAATGCTATCATCATTGGTGTTGACATAATATATTATCGTTGTTATTATTATTATCATAATTATTATTATTATTATTATTATTATTATTGTTATTATTATTATTATTATCATTGTTATTATTATTATTATTATTATTATTATTATTATTAATATTATTATCATTATTATTATTATTATTATTATTATTATTATTATTATTATTATTATTATGTGGATATTCAACAAAAACGTGCTAAGGGTGCTTGCATATATTTAATTGAGCATAACCAAATTCAATTTAAACGCATCATAAAGAAAATTGCACACACAAATCCCTCTCATATGCTTCAAAGGTTTTCCAGGCAAGGACAACAATATAAATCACGAAGAATCAATCGACTATACCTAATGATCTAAACAAAATGAAAAACTGATTTGGTATAAAATTATTCAAGTATGATTAGAATGTCGTATCAAATAAAAATCGTCTGATTTGTGTGCATCTTCACCCGGTAAACAAATGCAATTATACAAGTCGTTCAAGAAACTTCCATATGTAATCCTTTTGCTATAAGCTATAGTGATGTGACAACAGTTTTTTATGCATATGTCTTTCTTATTTGCTTCGTTAAGAATATTATCATTCATTTGCGGCTACAAATAGTTGAATTTCAGTAGTAAGAACACAAATTACATATCCTGCATTACGTATTTTAGGTATGTTTGAACGACTTTATAGGCACAACTATTAGTAAATTGCCCTCTGGCACTGAAATACAATATAACAGGTGAATCTAAAAGGTCGTCTCTGGATGAACGTGTAATCATTTCATTAATTTTTCAGATGATATAAATCTTTCAAAAAAAGACTCAATGGCAGATCTAATACCTGTAACACTAAGAGATGCCATGTTGATAAGAAGAGTGGTATTGTCTGCTATTAGTGGCTGGCTATCGCTGTCCATACTCTCTTGCAAGAGGGCGTTCATCAATGTGGTCGCATTGCCAACGAAATTTTCATCTCCGCTGACTGTGAAGTCCACCCCTAGACTACCCTGGAAATATCCCAAGAGTACCGCATTGATGACACCCCTAAAACCCCTTGCAGAGAGCAACCTTGGCATCTATAAAAAAAAAAAAAGTTAATACGAGTCGTAGTTAAATAGAATGGCAGTAACTGTATTCAAAGTGCTTGGAACAGTAAAGACAGCTGGTGATATTATTGCTGATGGAGCATCATGCAGAAAAAAAATCGTAGGTCCAAACGATATTGATTGTGCTTTACGCCCCCCCCACCCCCCCCCCTGTCCAAGATTACA